CTAATCAATATGGAAACACTTCTGCCTTCTTCAAGAGTCAATCTTAACAAGTGGTTTACATCTGAATCAGCTTGAAAGGCAATTATTAAACAGCACAAAATGGTCAACAATTATTGATTGTACAATATTACAAAAGAGTAACATTTGTAAAACTGAAGAGTGTTAACTAAACAAAAAGTAAATCGATTCAGAACAATTTAAATATTATAAATGGCTTTACACATTTACATCTCAAGCATCTTGTTGGCAACATTGGTAAAGACAATTTAAAAATAAATTTACAGTAAAAATGAAGATTTGAATAGAAATGTATAAATAGTGAAATCCATCGCTTCTGCAAAAATTGTATAACATTTCAAGTTGTCAAGTGAATCGATTGAAATTATCAAAGAAATTTTTGAGAAAATTTTACTTCAAGTTCAACACTTTGGAAAAGTCCAGATTGTTTCAGTTGGATTCTGAAACTCAACAGATAATTCAAGTTGCAATTCAATGACACTTTTGATCAATCAGTCTCAAAGGTAATGTTATTTATAGAAATGTAAAGAAAATTTCATTCATTATTCAACTTTGAGATGTAACTTTGAAATTTAAAGTCATCTGATTGTTGCCGAGGTTAATGAAGGTAAATCAAAGTTGACAAGTCAATATCATTGAGACGAAGTTGCAGCCAAATGAAAATAAATCGATGATTCAAGAAACTTATTCATTTTAATGGCTGTTAATAATTTATTAGCAACATGTAATTTCCTCATGAACACTAGACATTGAAAATAAAGTAAATCAAGAAAATATTTACCTTATAAACCAATGAATGTAATACACAATAAAGGATGAAAATTTTGTAAATAATGGAATCAATAAGTCAATGGATATTTCGTTGAGCAAACAGTTTACCCAATAATCAAGTTAACCAGAAAAATCTCATTACCTTCAAAGTGTAAACCAAATCCTGGAAATGGGCAAACTTGCCGAATAACCTTTAACCAAGAGACGGAAAATCTGGTCATAAATGATCGGAATAGATTGAAAAGTGAATATAATATTTTCGTGATAAACATTGACTTTAAAATTGAACCTCATGACCTTTAAGTTTTCAAGTTGACAGTGATTATGAGCTTATTTTCAATTAATGCTGTAACAAAAGAAGATAAGAGTTTCTTGAAACTTGAAAAGCTATAATTTTCAAACAATAAAGATTTAGTTTTAAGCTGAAATGCTTTAAGTTGAAATAGATTTAATGATTCAATGTTTATATCAACAATCAATATTATAATTGCGAGTCAAATACATGTTGCTTTAATGATCAAAGTTTCAATCAACATTTGCCTTTGAATGTTTGGCAAGTGTTGCTCTCAAAGGTTAAAAGGTTCAACTGGAAGCTTAACATTTCCAGGTTGTTTTGCATTATAATTGTGGGATTGATTGGCTTGAATAAAGTGGGAAATTTATCATTGATATTTGGGTGTTCATTTCGAGATCAATTTTAGCAAGTAATTGGGTTTACCTTTTCCCATTTCATTTCCATGTTTATTGTTCAGTCAATCTTCTTCGGTTACAATTATTTCTCAGTGTTATTTATCCACAAATAATCTCAATCAATTGGTAATCATTTTGAATTAAAAGCAACTCATTGAATAAGCTTCTCAAATTGTGTTACTTTTATTGGTTACCATTGATCCAGTTGATTTGAGTTTCCCTCTCAACTTTGGCTAATAAAGTCAAAACTATCATCTGGTTAATACTGCCATTGATGTAATATTTAATTTGATTGATTTATCAAAAGATTTATGAATGTTGTTCAACAATAACAAGGAAAAGCCATGTAAAATGAAAGGATGAATTAAATGGCCAAAGAAATAGTTAAGTCGCAAGGTAATGAGAAAGGTTAGAGGATAAATTGGATAAAGGTTTGGGATATTGAATGGGTGAAAGAGTGTGATAAGAGTTGTCCACTTTTTTTGTCTGTCTCATGGATTTGCTTATCAGGTTACAGAATCGGAGGATGAAAGAGTGAAAAATATCTGAAAGATCCAGAATGATTGAAGAATGTACAGAGACAATTGAGTCGATTGAAGGCTTTGGGAGCAACAACAAAGTACAGAGCCAAAGGAATGAGTAAATGAATGATGATGTTTAGCTGGATGATAATGGAACTGGATGAACATGATAATGATGTTGTATGGGAAAGGAAAAAAAACTATATATTGGTGGGTTGAAGGAGTAAAAATGAAGGGATGTAAGAGGAAATCTGGACGATATTGAGAGTCAAATGCTGAGGATTAAATTGAAATACACCTTGAAACATGTAGTTGGTATAATTGGAGGTGATGCTCATTGATTATTACTGAGAGAGAGAGGAAAAAAGATGAAATTTCCATTTGTGATAATAATATGTTATCATCTGTCAACCAGTATATTGTTATACTGATCATTCAATGAAAAGTAATCAATATTCAATCAAGCATTATGTCCATCTCATCATTCAAAGGCAAATAAATCAAGTATTGGAATCAAGTCGTCAGTCAACAATCTAACCACTTGGAGTGTTTAAAAATGTCAGTCAATTTAGGAGTTCGTTTAATTAATCAACTTGATTACATTTGAGTAAGTGTATGATTTAAATCGTTACAAGTTTTAAATGTCGAATGAATTACAGAAAAATCTACAGTTCATTAAAAATAAAATCAATATTTTTCATTGTTGTTGCATTGTTGTTCACGCAGTCATTGTTCGGCTGAAAAGGGGAAGACTGTTGAGGCATCGTCTTTGAACCAGTCGACGCATTGGTCCTGCTCGGGGACTTAAATTTAAGAAACATTTATTATGGAAAAAAGTTGAAAAAACAAAGAATTAGCACGGCAACTTTGTTATCTGATGTTAAAGTATTAATTACTACCATTTAAATTTGAAGATTCCAGACGTGGACATGAAATTGAGACATTTCAAATTTGAAAAGGTAGATTTACCTTTTAAAAGTGACCACATACCGATAGTTATTATTATCATATTTTCCTCCTCTTTTTCTCTCCCCCCATTTATCAAAATTAAACAAATTAAATTAGATTTTTATGAGGAGAGTGAGCTATGGGATGACACACTCTCACACAATTAATTGTATATAAATTCAAACTTTCGACAATAAACGTTCTTCTTCTTGGTCATCAAACTAAGCTGTCTTCTTGGCTCAACTCCTTCTGCCTTATATCTTCTCTTGGTGCATCTTCTGAATCAAATTCTTCCAGTTCTGTCAGCGAGTCATCTACCTATTCTTCGGGCCCTTCCCCTGCTGCTTCCTCACCTGCTCAACCTTCTACTTCTGCTACTGCCAAACTAACCAAATGGCAATCGGCCAACAGAAGAAAAAACTTAACTGAAAAGAAACAACTCCTTGAACCTGAAACATCCGGCTCAACTCCAACGCCGCACATCAAATATCTCAAGGCTAGAGCTCGTCAAGCTTCCCACAAAGCCTGCAAACAATTCTCTTTCGGAATCAAACTAGCTCGTGAAGCCCATACTATTGAAGAATCATTGAGATCTTCCTCCTGAAGAATCATTTTTTGTCATCATCTGTCATTGTAAAAATTCTAATTAAAAATTAAAATATATATAAAATATATTCACTACTTTCTGAAATATTTTGCACTCTCAGCAAATGACCTTAAAATGCCATTTAGAGGTCAATCTGCGGAAGCTCATGGATCACATCTGAGATCTTCAGCATAAACCCTTTGTGAGTTATTACCACAAACAGGTAGAAAAAATTATTAAAAAATATAGCAATTTCAATGCAAACATTGTGATCTTTCTTGTTTTCTTTGAACGCACAAATTTTACTTTAAATGTCTAGCAAATCTAATATTGCCAACAGAGATGTTAACAGCATTATTGATTAATATCTCACCGATTGTGCCACAAGCCGGAATAACCTGATTGCTAATAAATTGAAGCAATGCAAATGTTTTTAAAACGTTGTTCTAACTTCCGACGCGAATCAAACCTTGAATCCCAGTGCGTGAATTATCAACCTCAATGAACTCTTCACTCGAACAATCATTTCTGGATAAAATTTGAAATAAGCTTGACTTACTCCTAATCAATATTTGAGCAATAAAGGTTCATCTTTGGAAAGATTGAAAGTTAATAACGAAACAGTATATTTCAACTTGTAACATCTGAAGAGGTAAATTTATATGCAAAAAAAAGATTTAAAGGGAAGTGAAAAGAAAAAGAAGAGCGAAAAGTTAATGACAAAAAAAACTTTAATTATAATGATAATATTTTTCCTTTGCAAGTTTTATTATATTCTTGAAGATTCCCCTGTACTTTTATCCTGTACATTACAATATTAATCCGATGAAAAACTGTTGCCTTAAGGTTGAACTGATGAAAATTGTTGAATAGCTTTTACAGGGTTCAAAGTGGAAATCACCAAATATGAAAAGGTATTAATGAAAATAGCTGAATGAAGGGAAGGCAAGCAAAAATTTTCATTCAACATAAAGTAATATTATATCAATATAATGTATTCCTATTGGAAAGGTATATTAATGGATAAATATCAATTCACTGTTTCCAACCTTTTTCAGGCCATTTTATTTCCAAATCGGAAATCAAATGTTTCATCTGATTTATTCATTTTCATTGTTGATTATTTATCCATTATTAAGGCCTTTACGATTAAAAAAAAAGGATTGACTTTTAAGTGGTTAAACAAACTCACTACAGATCAATACCATCCATTACCCAAAAATGGGTAAAATTATTGCAATATTAAGCAAACTGTTGAACAAGCTTTATTATTCAATATTTGATTTAATTTCATTTTCATCTTGATCGATTCCTAATTCAGTTCAATCTTTATCATTCTCATCATCCTTATCTTCATCTCTCATTTTTACAGGGTTACACACAATCAATCAATCAGTAGCCTCTGAAACTCACGCAATCTCATTTTACTGGTTCAGTCACAAAACTCTGTGAGTTTCTTGATCTTCTTTCTTTCCCTTGTTACTCCAACTTTCCCAATATCAACATCTTGTTCATCCTCATCTTCATCATCCTCATCATAATCATCATTTGTAAGTGTTTACTTCAACTCATCAACTGATTAGATTTTGTGAAAACCGCAAACAAAAAGATTAAAAATTGTCTTTTCCCTCATTTTCTTGCTTTTGATTTTCCCTCTTCTTTGTCTTTTTTTTCTCACCTTATGATCCATTTTGTACCCTTGTGTCACCAACGTTTGGCTCTTTTCTCCACGCTTTACATTAAACCGGTTTTTTGGTTCATCAACAGTTGAAAACAATTTAATTTAATTGTCCTTTCCATTCCATTTTTACGATTATTATTATTAATCCCTCATGGAGTCAGTTTCTATGTAATCATTGATTTGTGAGTTTAATGTGAATCAACAATCTTTGGAAACATATTTTTCATTTCAAACTCTTCTGTGATTTAACGGTTTTTTGTCTTTACTGTTTGTTGGACTCCATTACTTTTTACATTCATCATTATCATCGTTTCATCGATCTTTCATATTATTCGTCTTCTATCGGTTCACCATGCAAGGTTTACTTTTTCACCGACGTATTAATCATCATCGTCATGCAAAAATATCTCTATTCAATGGTGTGTACATTAAAATGCAGTCAATCAATTTTGATTTCACCATACAACATGTTTAATTCCACATTTTTTATCCTTTTCACATTCCTTCCTTTCATCCCAGTTTGAAACCTTTTTTTAATTCATCTTCTTCTTTTTTTCATCTTCTTCTTTATCCTCCCTTATTTGACTGTAGTTTGCTGTTTCTATTCATAAGTAATAAGGCTTACTCTTTGAAATCCTGAGTCTTTTTACACCTTTTAATACTCAAATCTTGGAAACATAAGAGAAGGAAAAAAGGTTACGGTGAAAAGGAGATTCTAAGGAAAGCAGTTTTTCATTTGCATTTTAGAAATGGAAATGTTTAATAAAAAACAAATACAATTCAAAGTGATTCAACACAAAAACACAATTTAGGCCAACAAAACTGAAAAAGGATTAGTTTACAACTGAGCCCAATGACTAAGTTGTTTTCCTTCATTCTGGGCCTTGGTTTAACCAAATGATCGTCTGTAAACTTGTGATTATTCCCATCATAAACTGACTTCATCCGACTAACCAATATGATCAATTTAGGTGTTGATGTTAACAGTGTATATTTTGGTGCTCAATTTATATCCCAATATTAATTCCTGGCTTCATCTGATTTATTAATCGGATTACATTGGAAAATAATGTAAATCCTTGTCGCCATCTTTCTTTTTTGCTTCTTGATCTCCAAGTGATGAGCTTTCCAGTAGATTATCATCAACACAAAAGTGATTTTGTAAAGTTTTCTTCCTACTTTACATTCCTTCACATTCCATCGATATTTTGTCTTGTACATTCCTCGATTAGTTTACAGTTTCGTTCTTTCAATTGTGAACTGGCTGAATGTGATTAAATCTGTAAACTCGATGGTTCAAATTGTTGGTTATGTCTGGTCAAGTTAACATCGGACATCCATTATCGTCCAAACCGAGTGATTTAACAAGTTTGCTTGCTATTACTGCATCATTGGAGAAACCTTTTTCACCGTCATTTCAGCTTATTAGTGACAATGATCATCATGAGCATAATTTACAGGAAATCTCAGCAACGATTACAACACCAATTTCAGCAGAAGTTCATTCAACGACTATAATCCCAAGCGTAATTTCATTAACAACAACCTCAAATGCAGTTCAAATTGCAGTTAATGTTAGCTCCTTATTCACTTACGAACCAACGAACAAAAGGGCTCATATAAATAGTAATTATAACAAAAGTTCAACACAAATTGCTCCGATTTTTATTAGTTCATCGAATGATGGAAGTCCATTAGTTTCATTATTTGAAACCAATGCAACTCAAGTGGTTACCGAATGTTGTAATGTGAATAATTTAACTTCAACATTTAGTGAAGATGATGCAAAACCTGGTATTGGTAGTAATCTAAGTGTCTTCAATTTTCATGATTTAACTTCAGTTGAACAACTAATCAACATTACAAGTGCTATTGACCAAGGTAGTCTACTTGAGAATTGGGCTAATCAATCATTGTTAATCACTAATTGGACTACATTATTCAATGATACAATCAATTTGTCTTTTAATTCTACATTACCTTCATCATTATCTCCGAAAAATATAATCACAGCTAATTGGACAACTGAACCTGATTTACGGATCCATCACCCATTTTTAGCACTTTTATTAGCAATCATTTGTCTACTTGTTATATTTGGTAATATATTGATTATGGTTGCCATTAGACGTGAACGTTATTTACACACAGTTACCAATTTATTTGTGGCCTCATTAGCAGTAGCTGATTGTCTTGTCGGAGCAATTGTTATGCCTTCTTCGGTTGTCCATGAAGTAATGAATAAATGGTGGATATTTGGTCAAGATTGGTGTGATCTTTGGCATTCATTTGATGTGCTTGCGAGTACAGCATCAATCCTCAATTTGTGTGTAATATCACTAGATCGATATTGGGCCATAACTGATCCAATTAGTTATCCAGCTCGAATGACTACACGAAAGGCCAAAATATTGATTGCATTGGTTTGGACTTGTTCAGCTATAATATCATTTCCAGCGATTATCTGGTGGAGAGCCGTTTCAGCACCACCAAGGCCTTTGAGATGTGATTTTACCGAAGATATTGGATATCTTTTATTCTCGAGTATAATCTCATTCTATGGTCCATTAATTATAATGTTGGTCGTTTACTTTAGGATCTATCGTGCAGCAATAAACCAAACAAAATCGGTTAAAAGTGGCACAAAATCAATTGCAGCGTTAGATGGAAATGAGAATAATGCTGTTGTATTGAGGATACATCGCGGTGGCGGAGGAGGAGGAGGAGGAAATAATATTAATATTAATAATAGCGGTATTGTTAACTGTTATTGTGATAGTGAGAGTCATCCCCATCATGCTCATCATTATAATCAATCTAATACTCATTCTCATCCTGTTAATCATTTAAAATCTCGTTTGGTTGGTGAAGTATCTTTTGAGGAACCTTCTGAATTAATCAATTCAGATGATAACTGCCTTAGTGTCAAAGTATCTTCCGTTCGACATCGCAATATGAAAGCTTTCTCATTAAGTCGTAAACTTGCTAAACTAGCAAAGGAAAAGAAAGCAGCCAAAACACTTGGAATTGTCATGGGAGTCTTTATACTTTGCTGGTTACCCTTTTTTATTGCCAATCTTGTTAAAGGTTTTTGTGGTGATGTTTGTTTAATCAATCCAGATTTGGTTTATCCTTTGGTTACATGGTTAGGTTGGCTGAATAGTGGAATGAATCCAGTTATTTATGCATGTTGGTCACGAGATTTTCGTAGAGCTTTCAAAAAAATATTATGCTCCTGGTATAAGCCTAAATCCAATAGAGGAACCAAAATTTTACAAAGACCTGCTGGTACAATTCAATCGACCAGATATATTGTCAATGATAATAGCAAAAACTCTAAGAATGGCAGTAATGATATTGATAACAATGATAATGGTAACTATTCGCCATCTGATGTATTTAAAGCGTACGAGTCAAGAAAATATGAAACACAATTACCAAAGTGCCCACCAGATTCAATCGGAATGATTAGCTTAACATCAGCTTCAAATAGCTCATTCAAGTCTCAAAAAAGTGAACCTCTCAATGGAATTTTTTATCTATCAAAAAAGTGATCCAATTCATTAAAACTGTGAGGGAGGAAAAAAGTTCAAGTTGAAATTGTCAAAGGAACAATAACGAAATAAATTATCCGTGGAAACATTTCACAGTTATATTGTTGATATTCGTTCGTTTCCTGATTGTCTTGATGCACACTGATAATCAATTGTTGGAACAAAAGATATTTTTCAATTGCACATTTGAACAGTCCATTAATAATGGCAACATTTGCTCTGGTTGCTCTTTTACACCATAAGATGAGGTTAATCGTGAGACGTCTTGAAAATCAAATGAACAAATATAAATTGACAAAAATCGACTCAAGATTAGGAGCTGTAAAGGATAAGATGGGTCTAAAGCAAGGACAAATTGATCATTAACAGGATCATCAATGTTGCAAAAAAAAGTGATTACCGTAAATGGGTGTGTAAACAACATTAAGAAAAAAAAGGAAAGAAACTTGAACCAGAAAAGGCCCAGAATTTTGTTCATATTTTTACCAGAATTTTTACCATCAAACCAAGTGAGAGAAATAAATTTTCTTGTTAAATCATCAACAAACAGTTTAATATTGAAATCTATATCAACGCATTAAAACCGTTAGTATCAAAATTGTTTGAATTGTTTGATGATGAAAAATTAACGAAGGTTATTTCTTGGTTTACTAATTGGAAATTTTTTCTCCTTACAGAAATCACAGTAACAATGAAGATGGTGGTTAAGCTGATTGATGACATAAAATATGAGGAAACTCAGGAACATCAATTCTGGCCTTGTTAATCAAGTTGACAAACCAAATGACAAGCATTTTTAAATTCTTATTATTGATACTTGTATTGAATAACTTGAAAAATTAATTGTAAATAATGTCTACGCAATAAAGTATAAAAGTTGTTTAAAATTTGGTTCTGTTTTTATGTTCCGTTTGCACTGATTTAACCTCTAGTTTCCCTCATTGCTTGGTTAAATTTAATTAATTTTGGATAATCAAGAATGCTCAATGATTTCAAAAATGAAATAATTTAATAAAATAAAAGCCTTTTTTCATTCAAATTAATCATTTATTTTTAATTCACATTAATTTGATGTTAGCCTTGTTTACCGTTGCTAAGAGAGCGTTGTCAAGGCAACAAACTCAATGATGTAAATCATGTTTAAAAAAAGATTCCTTTATTCTCCTTTAGAATCATTAAAGTTTTTCTATTTTTCTATCGTTTTTTGTCTTAAAAGTCAATTGTTTAAAAGATGACCGAGTTTCACGATTCATCATCAAAACAATCTATTGATACAACACCAAAAAGTGCTAAATACATCTCGATAATTTTACCCAGAAGTGTCCTTTCAACTAACCATGAAAACAATACTTCTATAGAAGGTAAGACTTTCTTTGATTTTTCTCCTCATTGTTTTGATTTGGTTTAATGTAATTGTATTTTCTTTCTTTAAGAATTGGTACTAACGGATACCGCGAAAGCTTTCGATAAACTAAAACAAATCAAAGGATCTCGGTTGAGGATTTTCGATAGATATGAAGATGCTCTGAATTGTAGTCTCGAAGGTATTGATGATTTACAGTTGATTCCTGAACCGCCTAAGGAAAAGATTGCGGAAAATTTTCCTACACCTTCACCACCTGAGCTATGTAAATTAAGGAAAGCTATCGAGTGTGGAGACTTTGATTTGGTTTATTCGTTGATAACTGAAAACCCCAAATATGTGATTACTTCGAGTGATACTCCAGTTATTTTGATGGAAGGTCCTCGCTTCAATGGGGTCCATATTGCATGTAGGTGCAATCAAATTGAAATTCTTGAATTTATTCTTAAGACAATCAACAATCCAGATTTTATTAAAAAACTTTATCCAAATGATTCTGATGCTGTTACAGAGGAGACACGAAAACATTTACTGGATTTATATTTGAATACTCCTGATAAAGCTGTAAGTTTATTCAAGCAAAATCTTATTATAAACTAACTAATTATTATTCCCCTCAATTTTACAGGCACTTGACACTCCACTACATTTTGCCTCCAAATTTGCTGCTGCTGATTGTGTCAAACTTCTTCTGACTTACCCTGGTTGTGATCGAGAGAGACGTAATAAGTTTGGTGAAACACCATATGATGTTATTTGTTCTCGTAAAAGAGATTCTCAAGCATATGAAAAAATCAAGGAATACTTCGAAGCGCGTTTCTATATTTCAATTATGAGGAAATATGATCGTGTTACCGTTTGTACACCTTCTGAAACACCACCCAAAGATGATAGCATTTCTGGAATAGCTGGTCCAATGTCTCCAAAGCTAGCCGAGGAAATTTATTCAAAATTAAAATCACCTGCTAAATCTACTTCACCTCGAAAATTCAATATACGTTTAACGGATGGTTCTCGAGGAGTAGAGAGAGTTGCACGGATGGAGTGTAGATATCATAATCTGGATTGGGTAGAATATTGGCCTTTTCTGAACTGTTATGTCGATTTAGCGTCTCCTGAGGGACTCGAAATGTTAGAGAAACATCTTGCAAAGATGCATGTGAGTATTTTATCTTGGAAAATTCAACATCCGAAAGGATATTTTGAATTCTGGACATTGAATGAAGATTCTTCTTCACAGGGTCTTGCAAGTAAGCAACCTAATGGCGAAGAATCCTCCAGCGATAAAACGCATGAAAAAAGCTCAGTAAGCCTCCTTTGTGATAGACTAGGATTACTTTCTCTCGCCTCAAACCAGAGTATCGATGGTGAACTTATTAAATCTCAAGAAGTAAACAGTAGTGATGATGATGATGATTATGTCACTCCTCCTTCAAGCCCGGTTCAAGTTGACTTCTTCGTAAATGGGTATTTATAAATTTACTTATTAATTTTTTCAATTTTCTTGCAAAGTTTATATTAAAATTAATTTTTCTTTCTATCTCTTTAAACAGAAAATCATTCTCTCAAAGTGATAAAGATGCTGCAAATGCCTTGGCAGACATAAAAATAAACGCATTCCGATTTCCATATACAGCTCAATGGTTACGAAAAGTGAAGCGAGAAAAATCAATGACATCTCCATCTGAAGAAACTTTTGTGAATTTTTGTGATAAAGTCGCTGCTAATATTGCACACTCAACGCCTAGAAAAAGCATCAATTTGATTGATTTAATATCACCCAGACGATTCCACGGCTTAAGTGACCAACAAAGCTCAACCGAAATTTCTGGTGATGATGATGTCTTCCACGAAAGTTTTAGATAGTCAAATTTTATTTTAAAAATGAGATCGAAGAGAAACGAGTACAGAAAGTGATAATGTTAAGGGAAATTTTATTAGACCGTTAGGATCAAATGGATGTAAAGATTTAAATTTGCCAATTCAATAAAATAAGCCAATGTTATTAATTAATAGATGAATAAACAATTATTCTTCTAAAAATCATTAATTAATATTTAATTACCCTATCAGGTGTTATCCAATGAAGTTCAAATGATATTTACGTGAAAATATCGGTAGCGAAAGATACACTCAAGTATCCGAGTTCTTTGAAGCTTAAGCATTTCATTTGTGCCGAATTTTATCTTCAAAACTAATTTCAGTTGAAAACGCTCAATCCATAATCAATAAGAAAATTAAAGTAATTTAAGTTGATTTGCGCAAAACTGTTTACTGTTGGAAAATTTGTAAATTGTAACAAATAAAATAATGTAATTGATATTATAATGTGAAGATAACTTCATAATAGGCCTTTATCAGTTCGGCCTTTTGAAGTGTTTTTATTGATTAACATCTGTAAATTAGCTTATCCCAGCCCTAAACTGTATTAAACAGAATTTAATGAAATTAAAATAAAACCAATTGCTTACTACATGTCTGAATTAAATAATTTCATCCATTCCATGCAAAGCTTATGATCATAATTGATGATATTTTCTGAGCTCAGGCTTAAATTTTTAAATATTTGTGAATGAAATTCTTTATATGGATGCTTGTATCGGATTGGAGGCCAATCAGTCAGAGGCAAGCCTTTAGCGTAATCGCTAAACAAATTGAGCAATAATCGACTGAATTTTCTATCATTTGTTGTATATAAACTGGGTTGTCTTATTGGATCTCCTAGTCCGAATAAAGCATCATCTCCATGTTGAGTTCCATAAGGTCTCCCTGGATTTTCAGCTAACTTTTCACCAACATAACTATTCAGATAGAAATGAATATTGTGATTCTTCAGCGACCAAAATTCAGCCAATGTCAATGATGGGCAATGATAATTCATATCAGAACACAGTTTAACACATCTCGATCTTATATCGTAAGTATTGGATGGATCAGCATCTTTAAAGTAAACTTTAAACATGGAGTCAATTTGATCAGGTTTTATGTTTTGGATTGCAAATGAAATTTCTTCAGTGATAAATGAGTGAGCATCGTCCAAAGTAAAGATGTTGTCCACTGGCGAAAAGCCTGAAGATTCATCTTGTTCTGCTCCAAACAACATGGGTTTACCTTTGATTGCTTCAAGTCGTTTGGCATGATTTACCATTGGTTTGTTTGGTATCAAATCTGTTCCATAAACTGGTAAAAATACCGAGGTCTCTGAGGCACCAAGTGCTGTGATACCCTCTGCACTTTGTGCTTTCAATAAATCCTTTGCATCAACTTGCTTTAAGCAGTCGACAGTTTCATCAGACAATTCATTTGATGATTCAAACTGATCAACTTGGCTCAAACAGTTCACTTTTGAAGCTAATAGACGAGTCTTTGCTAAGGCAACTGATACATCCTCAGCCTGCATTTTATTTGTTGTCGCACCACTCATCATTATTAGACGGGAAAATAAAGATTGTGATTGAAATTTATTTGGTAAAGTGGCTAAAATTGAAACTATTTTTGATCCAGCACTTTGTCCTGCTAATGTAACACGATTAGGATCTCCACCAAATGCTCTGATATTATCACGAATCCATCGAAGAACCGTCAAAGTATCATAAATGCCAAGATTACCAGGCATTGAAGTATGAGAACCATGAGCAAAGCCAAATGCTCCAAGTCGATAGTTTGAGTTGACAACAATTATCTTTTGCGTTGCAGCTAACACATTACCTTGGTTAGACTCTATCGAACTTGAACTAAACGTATATCCAGAGCCATGGATGAAATAAAATACAGGCAGCAGCTCTGTATCATTATTTTCATTATTCAACTTTGGTCTCCATACATTCAGATACAAACAGTCCTCACTTATATTGAAGTTGACTGATCCTAAAGGAGTTTGGAAGCAACCATTTCCATAATTCACTGCTTTATAAGGTGTTGACCAAGTTGAATTGAATGGTTGAGGTAATTGGAAGCGTAAATTTCCCAAAGGTGGCTCAGCAAATGGAATACCCAAGAAGGATTCGTATTTGAAATCATCATAATTGTCAGTAAAACCTTGTATTTGACCAAACTTTGTAGTTACAATTGGTTCAGCTTTGCATACTGAAACAAATCCAATCCAAGCTACAGTAAAAAGTATTGTTGACATAACTTTATTCATTGAAGTTTCAACATTCAAGATAAAGATTCGCACAAAACTTGATTCACTAGTCAACATTTACCATGACTCGAAGAAACTTTTTATTCTTAACTCAACCGATCATTCAATTTTTTAGATTGACTTGGTTATTATTATATATTGTATAATACTTAATGCTAATTAGATGTCATAAGAAGATATGTTTCGGACAATTAACCAGTTTCCCATGAAATTAGTTTTCCATTAATCCATTCGCTTTCAACGTTTCCAAGACAATAATAACCTTAATGCATGATCCATAATGCCTGATCCTAACACAATGCATTAGCTTAAAATTAAACGATTTATTACTGAATAGTTTTACTTTTCCTGTTACTTTTTATTGAATTGAATTGCTAAGTAAAATTTGGCGAGTTTCAATGTTTAACTTATCCATAAGTGATAAGATTGTCCCAGTTGCTTGACTTCAATGCTTCCTTCCAATAACATTAGAAGGATAAGAACGGGTTAGATTTATTATTAATATATTATATGTGGTTGAACGTATAATTATGGTCTGGGATCACTATCAATTGTTTCGAAATGTTTATTACTAAGGATAATGATTGTAAGGTGAAGACATTCTCGAAATTTCGAGGTTCAAAGTTTTTGGAACAATGGCCAAAATCAACAGAACTGTTGATGAATTTAAAAAAGTATTTAATCCATGATGTTAACCAGCAATTTTTGTGGAGCAATTAATAAGTTTCAGCTCTCTTATTGTTATGGTCATGGAATGCAGTCGGTTTAACCGAAAATTGAACTTGATCTATTATACGAAAACAGAAAGTGTTTTTTCTCAAAAGAAGTACATTTTCTGATTGTTCATCAAAAGATGCATTAGTAAAATAAGTTTCGTGAAACAATCTGCTTCCTCAGTTGAACAAAAGGCGATCGAAGTTTCGAATTTGACCTCGATTTTCTCGAAAACTGTCCATCGGATGAAATATTCAATAGAACTAATGGATTCAGTTTTAATACGCCTACAAACCCACCAAGTCTCAACTCTTTACTCAACTTTTCAAGCCTTTAGCAACACTCTTTGCACTTCATTTGCATCTTTAACCTGGTTTGTTTACCAAGAAATGGGTTGAGATGAGTTTGTTTTGTTAAGAGAGTTGTTTCTCGTCCATTTACAACCCAAAAATCATGACCCAAATGCGCTAATTGAAAGTTATTGAACTGAATCAAATTATAAATTAGTAGAGAATTAAATTGATGAAGGAATGATGATTGTAGATTAGGCCATTCTCGAAATATCGAGGTTCAAAGTTTTAGAACCATTGATCAAAATCAAGAGAACTATTGATGAATTGAAAAAAGTTTTTAACCCATTATGGCTAGCAACAACTTTAATCGACAAATATTAAGTTTCCGTTCTCTAATTGTTATGATCACAGAATGCGGTCGGTTTAAATGAAAATCGAACTAATCTGTTTTACAGAAAAAGCAAAGTTCTATTTCTCAAAATAAGTCCATGCTCTTGTTAGCTATCAAAAGTTACATCATAAAAATGAGTTTCATGAAAAAATCTGCTTCCATTATTGTACAAAAAGCGAGCGAAGTCGCAACTTTGAACTCGATTTTCTCGAAACATGTTCACCAGAGAAATTTTTAAATCATGCAAATGAATTCAGTTTTCCTTTTTCTACAAACCAACAGAGTCTAAATTTGAAAGAAATTCATTTTTACCCATTTTTGCCGATTTGTGCATAAATGTGATGATTGTGTTGTCTTTTCAGTAACAACCGAATCTAAGGCTCGCTTTTATTCAATTACCACTTCATAATTGATATCATTTCTCGGACAAAAACATATTAATAATAATTGAATTGGTTACTTCGGGCTGCATATTTGTTCAATGTAATGGATGCCTTTAAGGAAACCTCAATAATGGATAATCACTAATCTTAATTATCTGTTGTTTTCAAGGAATAGAAGCAATTATCTTGTTTTTGCTGAATAATCATGTTTGAACACTTCTGAAAATAACAGAAATGTAAACGTCAATACAATAAAAATTGTCTATCAAAACAGCGAACAGTAAACACTATTAACAATCGTAATAATGATTTCTTAAACATTCATATAAAGATTTACACACTTTAATGTATTCAAATACAACACTTATAGCCTTCAAATTGTATTGAAATGTCTTTAGTTCTTCCATTGATTGTTACAGCTTTATTCATCTTCAGGGGTGCAATTGAAAGTGGTTCAACAGTGAAATGTGATGATCCAATTGTAACTACTGAATATGGAACCATAAAAGGAAATCGCAAAAATGAATCTGGTTTTGTGTTTGATGAATTTCTTGGTATACGTTATGGTAAGATTCCAGAGCGATTCAAATTTTCTCGAGTGAATGAAGAAAAGTGGACAGGAATTTTGAATGCAACTGATTATGGACCTGAGTGCAAACAATTAAGAAGCCCAAATAGCGTTGAAGATTGTTTATTTATCAACATTTGGAGACCTTTAATTTCCAATAAGGAAACTCGATTACCAGTCTTTCTTTGGGTTCATGGATCAGGATTTCAAATTGGATCTGGAGCTCTAAATCCTGGTAATATGTTAGCCTCTTATGGTAACATGATTGTGGCCACGATCAACTATCGTCTTGGCTCACTGGGTTATGCCTTTGGTGATTTAGAAGAGATGCCAGGCAATCAAGGAGTTAGTGATGTGACAACAGCACTTTACTGGGTCAATGAAAATATTGTCCACTTTGGCGGTGATCCTGATCAAGTCACTCTTGCTGGCCACTCAGCTGGTTCAATGATAGCTTCGTTACCAACTTTACTCAGAAGTGAGCGTCCTTGGTCACTTTACTCTCGCCTGTTGTTATCAAGTGGAGTCTCGTATGGTCCGATGTTCATTGAAGACACTTCAATCAGTCTTGCTAAGACTAAGCTCTTAGCATCAAAAGTTGGTTGTGGCTCTGCTACTCCGGGACCGTTAACAAGTCAAACCATCTCTTGCCTACGAACAGTCAATGCTTCAGTCCTACTTGAACACAAAGCGACCATCAAACAGATCGGTTCTTCTGACGTTGCTGCCTTCTTTCCAACTTGTGATCGTGGTACCATTAGAAATTTTTTCGACCCTTTCTTGAAACCTTACTACACCCATGATATCAAACCGCAAATACTCTTCTACTTACAAAAGGACGAAACATCTTACAGTTCAATTGATTTACAGCCCACTTCAAAGGCTGAAGCTTACCAAATGGCTTGGGATAAGTTGTCTTTCATCAAGAAAGACTTGACTCAATTGCAAATGCAACCTTTCTTTGAATACTATTTCAATGACACGAGGGATAATGACAATAGATCACTTCGATCAGCCCTTTCCGAATTCCTCAATGATCATACATTTAGATGCACTTCATTAATGTTAGCCCAACTTTATTCAACCAACCCAGACAATAGCGTACGATTTGCTGAATTTCGATACATTTTGGATAAATATGGACAACAGAATAGACCTGATGGTGCTTGGCATGATGATGTAGTCGAACTGTTTTTTGGTGAACCTTTTAGAGGCAACAATTCAAACTCCTATTCTAATCAAGACAGGAAACAAAGTTTACGTTTAATGAAATCATTGGCTGATTATGCTTATGGCAAGGAGCCTGATAACTGGCCTAAGTTGCATTTTGATTACTTGAACCCAGAAAAGGAACCAATTGTTCGCGAAATTAATTTTAAAGACAGAAACGTTGAGTATTCAAAGCAACACATTTGCCTTGAATGGTCAAAGCTTCTCGATTATGATATCACAAATTATATTCATCCTTAAAAACTTGTAATTGTTGATCACTTGTAATATTTTTCAACCAACTTACATCAATTATTTGTCGCGATTCATCGAAAGGAATTTGTTTTCTTTGATTAAATTGCTCAATTGATTATATCAAATATGGGTTATGAACATTCAGCAAATTGCATTCAGAGACATCTTAAGCATAGACTTAACTCGGCGATTTTTCGTATGCATATTAAGGTATTGAACAAATGATGCTCGAGTTAAGAACTGACCGGCTGCAAGTAGCTGAGAGCTGGACAGCGATGATTATAATATTGGTTATAAATTGGTTATGCTAGCAATTAAGTATTACATGCGAGGACACATGAACTTGAAATGACTGATAATGAATGCTATTGATCATAAAGATAACTTCTCAAGTGATCAGCATTTACTTTCACTTGTTCACATGAACATGAGGTTTTAAAATTAATGTCACTGATTTGTACCGAAATCAATTAATGTGAATTGAACAATTTAATGCAACGGCAATTTAATGCGATATTATAACATAATTGTACAATAATAAAGTCAAACGAAAAATCAAAGCCAAATTTAATAAGACAATATGAATGAGTTATTTTATTTTTACTCTCATTGATTATCATTGTTAATTGCAAAAAACGTGACATTAGTTACGGATCCTGGTACAATTGTTGATCTGATTTTCACATTATCATGTTATATTTATTGTTGATATTCACCACTAAGAATTTCATACGTTATCAGATCAGCTTTTATGCAATTTGCATTATTAAAGCTAAGTGAAAGTCCAATTTGATCATTCGATATATTAGTGAATTTTCAGTGCATCAATGGAAATACGTTTACTATTTTTGTGCTTCAATTTAATTCCAGCAACTCCTATATGATTCTAAGAACTTCATCAGATCAACCTTGAAATCCAATCGTTTATAATGTGAACATTGGCAGATATTTTTCATTGTTTTCCTCCTCTCGCGACCCTTTGGAATAAATTATGCCTTCGAATTTGATTTTAATACTTTTATTAGCAATTTGTGCTAATGTAATCCTAAGTGATACCACTACTGAAGGTCCCATTGTACTAACTCGACAAGGGGCTATTCAAGGAAGTCGTGTAAACGTATCTGGTTTTGTTGTTGAAAGATTTCTCGGTATTCGTTATGGATTGATTCCTCGACGATTTGTTTATTCTCAAGTCAACAATAATAGTTGGTCAGGAGTTCTAGACGCGACTAAATATGGTTCAATATGTCCACAAAAGTCTTCTGATTTGCCAATGGATGAGGACTGTTTGTTCCTCAACATTTGGAGACCTGCAATGTCCGATCCGAATGTAACATTGCCTGTTCTTTTCTGGGTTCATGGTTCAGGATATCAACAAGGATCTGGAGCACAAAACTCGGGTGATCTACTGGCACCTTATGGTAACATGATAATGGTAACCATCAATTATCGTCTTCGATCATTTGGTTTCGCTTTTGGAGATGAAAATGAAATCCAAGGCAATCAAGCAGTTAGTGATATCATCGCTGCACTCAACTGGGTTCGTCAAAACATTGCCTTCTTTGGTGGTGATCCAAGTCGAGTTACTTTTGCAGGTCACTCAGCTGGTTCCATGATGGGCTCAATAATTCCAGTGCTGACTGCACTTGACGATACCCTCTACTCACGACTTTGGCTAATCAGTGGAGTCTCTGTCAATCCAATGTTCATTGAAGACGCATCAGTCAGTCTAGCCAAGACTAAGCTCTTAGCATCAAAAGTTGGTTGTGGCTCTGATGCTCCTGGACCGTTAACAAGTCAAACCATTTCTTGTCTTCAAACTGTCAACGTTTCGGCTATACTTGAACACGATTTGGACTTCGATATTAAAAAACTTGGCGGTGCTGATTACCCAGCTTTTTTTCCCAACCTATGGTACTCCTTTGATTCCAATGCCACTTGTTCAACTTTTCAAATCCAATCCAAAAGTCAGAAGGACTACCATTTTCAACGCTATTCATCAAGATGAAGCAAGCACTTTTTATGGTTACTTGAAGCCCACTAACAAGTTAGAAGCTTATAAGATGGCTTTTGATCATTTATCGTTCGTCAAAAAAGATGTGACTGAAGCACAAATGCAGCCATTCTTCGAATACTATTTCAACGACACGAAGGATAGCGACCCTAAAGCACTTCGAACAGCACTCGCCAGTTTCATAACTGACTATACATGGGGATGTACTTCTTTGATGTTATCCGAACTTTATTCAACATACCATTCAGTTCGATTTGCCGTCTTCAAATATGTTCTAGATAAATATGGTAAAGAGGCACGACCTGGTGGTCCACAACATGTAGATGAAATTGAACTTTATTTTGGCGAGCCATTCATGTCTAAGCCGACGGAAGTACCTTTCAATTTAGGAACTTATTCAGAACAAGATAAAATACAAAGTTTACGATTAATGAAGTCATTGGCTGATTATGTTCATGGCAAGGAGCCTGATGATTGGCCTGTGTTGAAATTCAATAGTTCAAACCCAGAAAAGGAACCAATTGTTCGAGAAATTAATGCTCAAGACAGAAATGTCGAGTATTCAAAGCAACACATTTGCCTTGAATGGTCAAAACTTTTTGAATACGACATAACAATGTAATAACTATGTAAAAAGTAAATTAGATCACGATTCTTCAAAAATAACAGTATTAGTTAAATGCTTCATGAATCAAACTATTTTATTAAAATCATTTTTGTCAAAAATTTCATGGTATTGAATTTTCATGTTTAAGTTCCTCTCTATTTAACTTTTTCTCAGGTAAATTTTATGTTTAATAAGTGAATAAACAGATCTTGTCTTTCAATATTGGAGAGTTTCATGTGTAAATTTAATGTATTGATGCTAGTAAAAAATGACAAACTCCTGAACTTCGCTCCATCTTCGCTGAACCATCACATTAATGTTGTATTGAGGAAAAGATACCGAATCAAATTGAAAACAAAAAAAAACAAAAACTGAAGATCAAGTCTTAGACATAGCTATTTGATACTTGTTGATGGCTTGACAGCTCCAAGCAAATGGCCGAAACTTGAAAGAGCTAATCAATCGAGTTTCGTACTTCGCGCTAGTCAAAAATGACCAAAAAATTCAGTTAATTGTGCATAATTAAGCAATTCTAGAGAATTTGATGAGAGATTTATTGGCAAAATGTTTGCAGGAACTCAATGGTCAATATGCAAAAAAGATTTGGTTGGTAGGTTGAAAGCTAAGCTCAGAATTGTTTAGTGAATTAATGCTTCGAAATTAAAATAAAATGTCGGAATTAAAGTGATTGACACTGATTGTGAAGGGTAGAATGGGTTAATTCATTGGCTATTGTTAGTACTTTGAGTTACGAAAAAAATTGAATGTCTAAGATAAACGATTGTCAACATATCTGTGATTGAAATTCATTATCATTTTTATTCCGGATATGTTATGTTTATGAAAAGTTATTCATTAAAGACATCATTTGCAGTGCTTTGCTGCAATATGCTGTTGACTGCTCTGGGTTCTGTGAATAATACAACACGATACAATGAAACAATACATCTCTGAACAAACGCTAAGCAACAATAAGTCAATGCAAATTAATTGCCGAAACAGCGTCAATCCAATAACAGCATAAAATAATAAAACTAAACAAAGGCAACGATATCAATCAAAATTTGATATAATAATATGTTAGTTATTTAATTTTACATGCATTCAAATTACGAGGAAAATTGCTGGATAATCGTTACGTATCCTGTAATAATGGCTAGTTTCTGATCCTTCGATCATTAGATTATCATATTATTAGTTTATATCCATCATTTTTTGTTTTGCCATCATTATCAGTTCCGGCCTTTTATGCAAACTCGTCTTATCCAACTCTGTTAAAGTGAAAGTCAAATGATGTGGCATCTAAATGTGCCTAGTGACACTAGATTGGGTGTTACTTCGTTACATAAAGATAACCAGATGAACCTTGAAAATTACATCGTTTATAATGGGAACATTGGAGATATTTTTTCACTCTTTTCCTTAACTTTCTCAACATTTTTGGAACAAATCATGCATTCGAACTTTGTATTAACACTTTTATTCGGTCTTTGGGCTAATGTAATCCAAAGTAAAACCACTACTGAAGGTCCCATTGTACTAACTCGACATGGTGCTATTCAAGGAAGTCGATCAAATGTAAATGGTTTTGCTGTTGAAAGATTTCTTGGTATTCGTTATGGATTGATTCCTCGACGATTTGTTCATTCTCAAGTCAACAATCATAGTTGGACAGGAATTTTGAATGCGACTAAATATGGTTCAATCTGTCCACAAGATCCTTCCGATTTGCCAATGGATGAGGACTGTTTGTTCATCAACATTTGGAGACCTGCAATGTCCGGTACCAATAAAAGACTTTTGCCTGTTCTTTTCTGGGCTCACGGTTCAGGATATCAACATGGATCTGGAGCACAAAACTCAGGTGATCTACTGGCACCTTATGGTAACATGGTAGTGGTAACTTTCAACTATCGTCTTCGTTCATTTGGTTATGCTTTTGGAGATGAAAATGAAATCCAAGGCAATCAAGCAGTTAGTGATATTATCAGTGCACTCAAATGGGTACATCAAAACATTGCCTTCTTCGGTGGTGACCCAAGTCGAGTTACTTATGCAGGTCACTCAGCAGGTTCCATGATGGGCTCAATAATTCCAGTGCTGACTGCACTCGATGATTCCCTCTACTCACAACTCTGGTTAACCAGTGGAGTTTGTGTTACTCCAATGTACATCGAAGACACTTCAGTCGGTCTAGCCAAGACTAAGCTCTTAGCATCAAAAGTTGGATGTGGCTCTGATGCTCCTGGACCGTTAACAAGTCAAACCATTTCTTGCCTACAAACAGTCGATATGTCAACTATACTTGAGCACGACTCAGGTTCTGATATTAAAAAAATTGGTGGTGCAGATGATCCACCATTTTTGCCAGTTTATGGTACACCTTTGATCCCAAAACCTTTGGTTGAACTTTTCAAATCCCATCCACGAATCAGGAAGACTACCATCCTCAACCATATTCATCAAGACGAAGAAGGTCTTTTATACTCTGATTTAAAACCAACCAATATATCAGAAGCTTATAAAATGGCTTTCGATCATTTAGCTTTCGTCAAAAAAGATTTGACTAAAGCTCAAATGCAACCATTCTTTGAATATTATTTCAACGAAACAAATGATAGTGACCCTAAAGCACTCAAAACATCACTCACCAATTTCCTAACCGACTATACATGGGGATGTACTTCATTAATGTTAGCCGAACTTTATTCAACATATCATTCAGTTCGATTTGGTGTGTTCACATACAATCTAGATAAATATGGTAAAGAAGCTCGACCAAATGGTCCATACCATGGAGATGAAATTGAACTTTTCTTTGGTGAACCTTTTTACAACAATCCATATTCAAGTAAAGTCGGAAAAGGTGATTTCGACTATTCAATGAAAGACAAAATAGAAAGTTTACGATTAATGAAATCATTGGTCGATTATGTTCACGGTAAGATGCCCACCGATTGGCCTGAGTTGCATTTCAATAAAGCAAACCCAGAAAAGGAACCAGTTGTTAGAATAATCGATTTGGTCGATAAAAACGTTAGATATTCAAAGCAACACATTTGCCGAAAATGGTCAAAGCTTTTTGGCTACGATATAGCAAAGGACTAGACTCGGACTTCTCAAATCGCTCGCCCAATAAATACAACTTTACCTCACCAAAAGATTAAGCAAAATCTTGCTAAGCACTTGACAAAAAGCTTTTAAATTTACATTCTGTTCGTAGTTTGACTGAAAAATGTATTGAAATGTTTTCTTGAAATAAAATAGTTACGAACTTTGCTATTGAAGTTGACAATTTGACAAGATTGTTCAATTTTGTCATTCACCTTTACTGACAATCTATTTCACTGGTTCATCAATCAATTTGAGGTGACAAAAAGTTGCTCGAAACAAGAACAAAAAAATAGATTTTCCTCATCATGAGATTATCTCGATTCATCTCTTCATTATCATCAACATCGTCATGCTCTTACTTGGATCAGTGATGAAAATGAAGAGCGCATCATCACAGGTTCACTTAACATTCACTGGATAACATTGGCTAACCTTTTTCATCTTCTTACTTTTACCTTTCATCTTCTAGTTTCATCATTGACATCATTGATAAACTTCTGTGATAATCAAGTTGAACTCATCCTCATTATCAATACAAAGTCACTTTGTACAAGAAAAGTGAAAAAAAACGCCAAAAATCTTTTCCTTTTTTTTTACTTTACCAAATCAATCAAGTTACAACCAATTTGTATCTTGATCAACTAACTTTGTTACGACAAACTTCAGAACCAATTTCAGCGTTCATTGAAAAAGTTCATTGAAAGAGGATTAATTGTTATTCGTCGATTGAAACTGTTACAGTCAATCATGTATAATTGATGAAGCCAACAGTGAATACGAACCAACTATGCCAACGAATCATTTTCACCTCTTCATTAATCTCATTCAAACATCCATGTTTATCACTGCGTCTTTATCTGCATCATCTGAATCATCATGTTTAACCAGTGCAACTTCCGCCAACAAAACAGATCAATTAACTTCTACCTCAAAAGATTCAGGTAAACTTGTTTTGTCATTTTCATTTGTTCATTTTTCCTTCTCTTTAAAAAGAATCCTATTTTTACACAAAATTCAGTTTATCATGAAATTAAATGAAGCCTTGTTTTCTATCCATTAAGATGCATGAGTGAACATTTCAAGAATTAAAACCTCAATTCATGGTGAAGTTGCATAGATGAATGAAAATGGAAAGGAATTATTTCAAAATGAAAAAAAAAATGTCGACTCGATAATCAATAAAAAAAAGTTGCAATTAGCAAACTTGATGAAATGCATTTTCTCAGCGAATCATTATGCATTTGAAATTTTGTTCAAAACTTCATTGTTCAACTTTAATGATTAAAAGCGTTTTAATTATGAGATAATTGTGATTTACACTTGAATGAACTCGGTTCAAATGTTTAATCAAACATTCAAGTGGATGAGATTTAACAAGATGAGATTTGAACAAAACCATTTGTTGAGTTTCCATCAAACAAAATGAATCAAACTGGGAAAACGCATTTCATTCATGAAAATTGTCGCTTTCAAATTCAGAGAAGCCATTGTTTGTGGACTGAAAAGCGATTTTTTCACCTCAAAAGTTGTTACCTTTACTGTGTTGATGAATAGAGACAAAGTGAATGTTTACATTTTAACTTTTTTGATTCGTTCAACTCTCATTGTTGGCCTGATATGTAAATCATTAATTTAGTTATTTATGCAAAAAAAGGTTCATCCCAAAGAATTCAGCATTTTGTATTATTATTTGCATGCAAATTTTTTTACACCAAATTCCCAAACCTTTACCTTTTTTCAACTTTAATCTATTTTGCTTTCCGTTTCTTTTGTCATCTCAATCAATTTCATCCTTGTTTCACATCGTTAATCATGATTCTTTTATCTTTAAATTCAAAAGTTAACCAAAAAACTCACCTTTGATTTTCATCACCTTGACAAAATATTGAAAAATTTTCATTGAGATTTGGAACAAGAATTTCAGTTTGACAAGAAAAAAAATCTACATCAAGATTACCATTAATCATCAACAATCAGTCATTATTAATAGCTTTAAAGATTGAGTATTGCATGGTTGAGAGGTGAACTGAAGCTATTAAGTCAACCTAGAAGGTAGGTCGTTAGGTTAGGCTTGAAGACATCAAAGGGATTCAATATAGAGTAATGTTTGGTAAACCATTATCGCGACTCAATCATTAAACAATGAAACAAATTATTTTTCAAGCTTCGACTGAGATGCAAGTTGAAGCCATTAAGTCAACCTAGAAGGTTGCTCGTTAGGTTAGTCCTGAAGATGTCAAAGGGATGTAGTCATGTTAGCTGAACATCATCATTTATTAAACAATGAAACAAATTGTTTTGAAGCCTCGACTGGTTGGGATGCAAGATGGTTCAGTCAACCTAGAGGTTGCCTTTGTTAGGTTAGACTAAACAAACCAACGAGGTATTGTCAGTGTCATGTTTTATGTTGATTTACAAATCAAACAAGATTCACTTTCAACTCTTTGATAGCAATTTGACCATACATAATATATTTTTAGTTGACATGATTATGCATGTTATTCATGATATTCATGCGAATTGCGAAAACTTCTGAAATGTAAACTTTCAAAGTTCAATTTTATTCAAATTTGCCAAACTTAGTCAGGAAGACAATTATAGAATGAAAAAAAGGGACTTCTTTTGTATTCAATACATTATATCAATGTAATATTCATTTCTTTGCTCTTCCAAATATTATATTGTTTACTGAAATAATAAAAATGAACAGAAAAAAACAGGGAAATACAAACATGAATTTTATACAATTTTGGGTGAACTGAAATAGAATGAAAAAAAGCAAAAAAAATGATCAAAATTTTCTCTTCATTTTCATCAAAATTCAGGGTCAATTCAATGTCTTGAAATGTTAAGTTATTTCCAACCTTAAGTCACCATGTTTACCAGCATTGAGCAAGAAATGTTGAACTTTTTTCAGGGAAAAAATAAACATGAAGATAAAATTATTGAAAATGATAATATTTTGATAACAAAAAAGATGAGAATAAAAATGTTTACTCATTTCATTTGGAGGCAAAATGTATTCAAAATGTCAAATTATCTGTGAAAAAAACTAATCTTATTAGCAGAGCATTGACAGAGAGCAATCAATTTGAATGGTTGAGCGTGAAAAAAAACAAGTGATTAACATTGACAAACTATAACACACAATCCAAATATTCAATTACAAAAAAAAGTACAATTCTCCGTTCGATTGAACCATTTATCAGATCGCGAATGTGATTTACTTATTCATCCATCAGCTCAACTTATTACCATTATCATTAATATTATCTGAAAAACTGTCAAACTGAATGTTATCAGTGAATTGTCGTCTAATAGGTTAACTTGGTAACAATGTAAACCCATTTTTTTGCAGCTTCACCCATTTTCACTCCCAGTCAGATTACGTCTCAAAATTGCATGATAACCTTTTCCCTTTATTCATCTTATTTACACTCTAAATGCTTCAAACTGATAACATTCACTGGTTAACTCTTTTTGTCCACAAAACAAAATAATGAGAAGAAATTTGTTTCAAGAAAAAAATCGATTTCTTGTTATCTGTTTTGTTCAGATTTTTTTACCAACCAAAGTGCTCAAGTGGTGACAAATGTGGATCAAGATGAGGCCAATCAGACGAACGATGAAAGACGCTTATTCAACTATTTAATGAGAAACTACGAGAAAAATGTAAGGCCAGTGAAGAACGCGGCAAATCCAATTGTCGTTCGACTTGGAATTACCTTGACTCAAATTTTCGATCTTGTAAGTTGACCTTTTTATCGATTGAACATTTTCAGAGAAAATTTTGTTTTTCCAAATCTTGTTATTCTTATTCAATTTTCACATGAAACTAACTCAATGCTTTAATCACTTTATACTCTTGTAAGCAACATTAAATATCTTACACTTAGACTTGGGTTAAATTGTTGCAATCAATATTTGGTTGAACTGAAGGAGAAAAAGAAGAATCAGGATTAAAATGATTTTGGCCAATTTACATGGTTATAATGAGATTGGTATTGTTTATTCAGGGAATGACAGGGAATCTGAATAAATGAAACTCAAGTAATTTAAAGATGATCGCTGTGTTTGTTAATGTTAGTTTCTCGACTGCAATTTACATTTCCATTTCCATTTGTTATCTTTTTTTTGTTCACCTAACAAGTAAAATCTATCTTCTTTTGAGGATGAAATTTTCTTGAAATATTACCATGTAAAGCCTGAACATGAGAGAGGAAAAAATTGGTACAAAATTATCCTCAAAAGTTGTGCAAGTTGTAAATTTGAAATTTCAAAAAGATGAACAAAGAAAATGAAAGTTTACTCGAAAAGCAAAACAGATGAAATTGGCCAAAACTATCATCAATAGGTTTCATGATAAATTGATGAATGTCAAACATGGAAATGTTTCTATTCATTAAGGGATTATTCAGTTAATTTGATAGATTCCCTGAGGGACGGAATGCTTAGCATCAAGAAGACACTGTTTCTCTATTTTTTCAGAATTTGTTTCTTTCTTTTTTCAAGTTCAATGTTTTTTTATCAATCAATTTATGAATCTTTTTCAGGATGAAAAGAACCAGATTTTGACGACAAACATTTGGCTTGATCAAGTAAGTTGAAACGTTTTCATTGTAAATCAGTTTATCTGTTCAATCTCAGGGTTTCATTTAAATTCATGGCAACTTGAGATTACTCTCATTATCAACTGTTTAGTCTTTAAGTAATGAACCATAATGGATTCAATTAGAGTGTAAAATGGGTTAAAAGTGATAATCTTTACTCTCATCTCATGGTGATGCTATTATCAAGTAAAGTCAGAAAAACAATGAACTTTTACAGAATTGAAAAAGATTTCCGTTTCCTTGAAGTTGATGTAAAATTAGGCGATGAAAGTTGAGACAAAATGTGTTCATTAAAAGAGGAAACTGAAAGGTGAACCTAATGATGACACTAGATTCATGGGTTGAACAATGAAATCAACTTTTCCTCTACAAATGGAAACAATTTGCATCTTTAGTTGAAATTTATGTCCATTTGTTTCATCACAATTAACCAAGTAAAACTTAATTTGCTGTAACAATTTTATTCACTTTAAAGCCAGTAAATTAACCAGAATTGCAAAGTTAATCATTCCGCTGACACTGATTAACTCACATTCAACCCAACTCGCTGCAACTTACTGGATGAAATTTGATTGGAAATCCTCTAAACTCAAAGTTGACTCCATGAGCCAAACCAACATTGAAATGCTTTCTTCAAGAGTCAGTCCTTAGACAGTCTCTCAGATATTGAGTTATTGTGTCTGAGCTCATCCAATATTAAGGTTAAAAAAACAAACATGAATTATATGACAAAATATCTTTTATTGAATATTGAAGAGAGATTTCAGTCAACATCGTATTCGGATTCTGATAAGTTCACTTTCGATTTGCATTTACAATGACGAGCATTAAATGAGCGGCCATCTCAATGAACACCTATCAAGATAAACATGTTTGAAACATTAAGATAATATGATAATCATTTTTGATGAAATATGGAGTTTACTTACCAATGAATAGTTGAAGCTGTTCATTTCTAGCGATTCAAAAACAGCAAATAATTTTCTGTGCAATAAATACTCAGAGATTATCAGAAGTTTCATTTTATGAGTAATTTTGAGTTTACAACCGTTTGTGAAAATAACTCGACGCAGCTGCCTTTGACAATGGTTTAGCTATAAGTGAAAAGATGTTTGAATGAAATTGAAAGCTGAATATTGGTGAGGTTACCTTTGATCTTGCATAAGCTCCACTAATGAAATTGATTGACTGTCCACAGGCAAAGTTGAGCGATCCAAGTCCAAAGAGAGCAATGAGATGAATCTTGTTCAGGGGGACAAAGAAAATTGAATATAAGATTAAAATTTGAGGGAAAAATGTGTTGATGAAGACGTTCGAATTGAATTTGCTCCAGAAAAAGTTGGCGCAATAAACTTGTTTCAATAAGCGAATGAGTCGACTAGAGTTTGACGAAATTTTTCGATGAGAAAAAATGGATTTCGAATCCATTTGAGATTTAAATGTTTTCGCAATCTTGGTCAACTTTTGTCCAATAAGGAAAGCATAGAAGCTGAACAAATAGCTCATATTGACACAGAAGGCAATGGCCGCAAAGCCAGCCACTACAATGATTAGTCCATGAATGCTAACCATTAAGAATAAGAAAGCATTTGAATAGTTGTTGATCATGTGAGGAATGAAAAGGCTGAAAGTAAACGGTAGACCAAACAGGAGCGATGATTTAGCACTGATGAATAGAAGTTTCGAGGCAAGGATCAGTGCTTCATTTGGTTTCACGAAAAAATCGTCTTTTCCTTGATCCAAGATAGTTAAGCAAGTGAACCAAGTTTGCAATTTTACTGATCGATTCGATTTATTGAGTAAATTGAAAGCAAATACTGTGGCTGTGTACCAGAACAAGTGAATGAACCAAATTATGTCATGAATTGAACCGAAGTTGTAAGCATAGTCGCCCATGTAAAGTGCCGAAACTGGTTCTAGTGGCACATAATTGTAAATTGCTGCTCTAATGAAAAATGTTAGGCAAATGAAACAGGAAAAGGTTGATATCAGTTGATTATACCATGGAATAGGTAAAGGTAAATATGATTGCCAGAAGAATTGACTTTTAATCAGAAAATATGAAAGTGAAAATGATCTTGAGTTTCGAGATTCGCTAGTTGACTCCATTCAAATGGATTAAACTTTCAACTGTTGGACATTGATGATTGTAATCTATTCAAGTTATGGAATCGTTTTTGACTTTGCAATTTAAGTTACAATGAGCAATTTACGTCATGCAAACAGTTTGCTGATTCAATTCATTTATTGCGTTTCATGTAAACGAAACAGTCAAGTTCATTGCATTTGGAATTGTTTGCTTGCGATTTAATTGATTTTGTTAGTTAAAGCAAAATGTAAATAAATGTGATCGACTATCATTATAAGCGCCAATTGTTATTGATTGTAACAATATAAGTCTGGCTCGAGTTTATTAGAGAATCGATTATTTCGACAATAATTTTAAATGCACGAGTTGACTCCCGATCATGACTTTTTGAGCAAAGATTTTCATAGAAATGTTCACGAAGGTTCAAATTGATATAATAATATTTATTTTAGGATAAAAAAAGCTTTGCTCACAGTTCGTTCGAGCTGAAAGTTGACAAAAATTTGATACATTGACTTTAAATATTGTATAGATTGCCTGAATTAGGTACATCAATGAGTCCGTGTAAAAAAAACATAACATAAAATATTTGTTTACTTTTTACAGCACTTTATAAATATTCATTACCACTTTGAATGGATTTAAATGCTTTTGAATTTTCCTCCAAATCTGTTCGTAGCGCTTTCTAGTGATTATGAATAAATACACTTTTTACAGCTGAAATTGTCTCAAAAAATCTTCACTTACAGTAAGGTCTCTTAGTCTAACGCTTTCTTTAGTCTCTTACTTTTTTAGTAAAAGCGTTAGACTAACAAGAGTAAGTAAGAGAGGCCCTACTGTACATCAATTTAAATTTTCATGTTACATTATCAAGTTATCTTTAAATACAAAAACGAAACATTTCTTGTGTCTACGACCACACCAGGCTGAAAACACCGGATCCCGTCCGATCTCCGAAGTTAAGCAGCTTCGGGCCGGGTTAGTACTTGGGAGGGAGACCACTTGGGAACCCCCGGTGTTGTAGACTTTTTTGCTTTTTTCTATAATTCAGTTCGTTCATGGTAAACATTTAACTCTTTTTATATTTCAATCAAGATAAAAGCCCAGTCGCTTTGCTAACTGTAGTGTCTTTACATGTTAAGGTTAAATCTTTTCATAATATACATCGCAACTATTGTGGCTCATTATTTTCGTTATGATTCGTCCTCTAACTTCATTTCGAGAATAACTCGGAATTGAAAAGTTAATTTATTGTCAATGTTCAGCTCTAGAATCATTTTAGTTTCAACTTTTTTGCACTTATGTTTTCAGTCCGAGACACTTTACCTAAGCCATGAATTTTGCTCATTGACCGAGATTTTAAAAAATGAAAAATTACTCGTTTGCTCGTTTCCATCATCAGTCTAAATTAATTGAACTTAAATTTTTTTCCCTTTCAACTTGGCAACAATTTAGCTGCTAAAGAGTACAGTTTATTGAACATTCAATCATTAGCGATGGCTTATTGTTACTCAAACTAAAAAGAATCTAAATGGATCTACCATGATGACAGTGAAAAAGATGTTTTTGATGTTTACAAATTTCAATTCTAACTTTCAACCAATCAATTTGTGATATCCAGCATTTCAAGTTACATTTAGCTTTTGTAGCTTTTTGCCTTAACCCAATGCAGCCTTTTTGTGCATCAAATGCAATAGATTGAACTTTTCATTTTTTTATTGGTATTGTTTGAGTAAAATTGAAATGACTCTGAAATATGACAAAATGAAAAAAAGGAGAAGAAGAAGGAAAAAATATTTCTTATATTTACTTTATAATTGCACTGCAAGAGTATTGATAGATGAAAGGTTGAGTTTATGACTTTTCACTTTCATTATGATCATCATGAACTGCAAGTTCACCAGAAACTGAGTAAATTTCAACTGTATTCAATCATATTGAAGCCAAAGCTCAAGCTCAAGGCTATTATAGCAAACATTGTAAATATTGAAAGTATAATGAAATGAAAGGTAAAAAAAAGTACTTTACTCTAAGCAATTTATCAATTTACATGCCACTTGAAATTTGATTAACTTGCATATTAAAGTGAACCCCAAAATTGAGGGTTCAACAATTGAAAACCATTTTCTTGCAATTCTTTGCATAATTGATCAACATTTTTTGCTATCCAATTTAGGAATGGATTGATGACTTTTTAACCTGGGATGTCAAGCAATTTGGAAACGTATCCAAGATCAGGATTCCCTGTGAACTAATTTGGCTTCCAGATATCGTCTTGTACAATAGGTAAGTTATTGGCACGATTCTGATAATCTTTGCAAATCAATAGACTTGGTTGAACATGGAAAAGTTCATGCAGGTTCAATGAAGGTAAAATGGAATCAGGAAATTAATCGATTAAATGAAGCTTCCCAGTGAACAAATGAACATCTCGAGTCATTTTTTGCTCTTCTTATCTTGTACTTTTGTTGGGCCCCTTTCTTGTCACCACAATCATGTTTCAACCCTGTTCAATCATGTTATCTCAGAATGTTGTATTAAACTTGATTAATCACATCAAGAGATTGCTTTTCGTTCTCAGGTTGAACCTTTTTTGCTCTGAAACTGAAACTTGGCAAGACTTTTTTCCTTGTCTCCTCTTTTGTTGACTTGTATTGATAATTAGTTTCTTGCCTTCATCACTGGTTGCAATTTATGTGATTATTGTATAATTTACTTGTAAATTGATTCATATTGTTGATCAATTTTCAGGATCACATTTCTTGTAACTCGCAATCAATTGGTATTGCCAGTCATTTTGTTGGTCGATATTAATGGCTTCAATTTATTGTTGATCAACTTTTCAGTTTACTTTATCTGATATTGAGTTACATTGGCTTAATTTTTGCTGATTCAAGTTCATTAGTTGCTTTATTGTTGTCACTTTGATCAGATATTGGATCAACTTTTCAATGGTTCAATTGTGAGCAAATATTGTGAGTTGCTTTCAAAGGTCTTGGTTTGCCTTCAATTGAACTGAATCGTTATTATTCATTGGTTACTCTGAGTTGCTCGGTATGGCTTGGGAATGGTTCAGGTGTTTGTGTGTGTTTTTTACTTTTAAAAGGGTAAAGTTGAAGACAAAAAGCTTTACTTCTCACAATAATCAAGTGTACTTACATTTATCGATGATTCTGGTTGAAATGATTTCTGTTGAAAATAATGAACTCAATATTGAAAGTTATCTGATTAATGGTTTAATATAATGGCCAAGGAATCAAGTTGATATCTTTACTTGTTTCCACTGTTAGACAAAGCAATGAGAATCAAGTTCATCTTGATTACCTTTAGTATAAAGACTTATAGGAAGTTGGTTTTGCTTCTCAATATCGGTTTGTTTAAATATAGCTGATAAATCGGATTCAAAGCTGAATAAGATAAATGATAAAAAAATCTTTGTCCATGGTTAGACTGATTGGTTTTGTAGGGTAACTCTAGAAGTGCTGATTATCATGGTAATATTGGATTGTGAATAGAGTTTCATGAAAAGTATGATCCAAACATAGAGAGTCGTCAATGGATATTGAGCCAAGAGTGTAAAATATCCTGTAGAGTCATGAAGAGAAAGAAGAGAAACCCAGTTTTGATTTGAACAGTCTTGAATTTAAAATAAACTCATTACATTTTGGTATGATTTATAAATTGAATTAAGTCAGGTGAATGTTTAAGAGATGAAAATTTTGACTTACAAGTTTTGGCTTGTAAATGTCTTCACTTACAATGTTGAACAGAAACAGATTATCCAAAAGAAAATTTTGTTGCCCAATTTATCAAGTAATTGAGACAAGAAATAGACGAAATATGAATCTAATTCAAATCCAATGTTGAGTTATCAAGTTACTTACCTAGTATTAATACCATAAACAAGTAATATAAAAACCAGACAATTGTGAAAGCAAGAAATTAATATCTGAGAAAGAAATGAAAATTTACTGTAAATGATAGTTTCATGTAGTGGAAAGGTCAACATAGGCAGAAGCAATCTTGAACATATTGTTGATCAATAATTGTATCTATATTTAATCAAAGTTCATCAGTACAAAACATAATTGATCAAAAATGATTAAAGGATTTATGCTCAAAATAGAAACAAACATTGGTTAACATAAAACACATTAGATGGCGACAACTAAATGAATATTAACTAATGCCATCTAGTGATAGTAATCAAGTAAATACAATCAACTTAAGAAGCAACAAAATGCTAAAAAGAAACATTCAAATACAAAAACAAGCACTTCTCTTGTGTCTACGACCACACCAGGCTGAAAACACCGGATCCCGTCCGATCTCCGAAGTTAAGCAGCTTCGGGCCGGGTTAGTACTTGGGAGGGAGACCACTTGGGAACCCCCGGTGTTGTAGACTTTTTTACTTTTTTCTATAATTCAGTTCTTTCATGGTAAACATTTAACTCTTTTTATTTCAATCAAGATAAAAGGAAATGAAAAGCAGTCACAATTGGTAACTGTAGTGTGAAAGGTTTCATCTTTTAATAATCTTTACCAAAATATATTACAATATGGCAACTATTGTGGTAAACATTAAAACCTTTTTACTTTATGAAAATGTAAGGAAATGAAAAGAATCGTCACATTTGTTAACTGTAGTTGGGATTGGGAAAGTAATTTTTTATCTTTACTCATATTCCTAAATTTTGATACAAATCTCACAATGAAAGTGAAATTAAAGTTAATTCATTTTTATTTTTGTTTACAAAATCGCTTCTACAAACATTATTATGCATGCAAATTGTTTACAAATATCAGTTGTTTATCTATATTGTTGTTGTGTTTATTGACAAAGGTGAATCTATTTTTAGAATGTTTTTACTTTTATTTTCAAAAGTGCTGATGATTATACACGTGGTTACATGAATTCTCGTGCTATTGTTGAACCAAATGGTAATGTTTTCTGGGCTCCACCAACCAAATTTTACAGTACTTGTCCAGTTGATGTAACATATTTTCCCTTTGACGATCAAACCTGTTACATGAAATTTGGTTCATGGATCTATGATGGATTTCAGGTAATGTTGACCAATTTTTGTCTAATTTTATCTTTCCTTATCCATTAATTGACCATAATATTTTGTTTATATTTTATTAGGTTGACCTTTGCAACAGGACAACTCAGGTTGATCTGGAAAATTATGTACATAATGGTGAATGGGATTTACTGGAAGCCAAATTGAATCGCAATGTTATCCAGTTTCCATGCTGCATTGAACCCTTTCCTGATATTAAAATAATGTTAACCATTCGACGGAAAACACTTTATTACATGTACAACATTGTCCTGCCTTGTATGATGATGTCCATTTTAACTCTTTTGGTATTCTGTTTACCACCTGATTCTGGTGAAAAAGTTGCCTTAGGTGTTACAGTTTTACTGGCATTTTCAGTCATCATGTTGGCCATTTCAGAGAAGCTACCAGAAACATCCGAATCTATACCTTTACTTGGTAAGTTAATGTAGCTTTGCAACAATGTTATCCTTTACAATTTAATACATAAGTAATGGTCAATGTTGGTCAAAAAAATAAGCTTACAGATGATATCCAAAAGTTAATGAGCTAAAAGTTTGCCCATTATTTTTATCCATATAATGATAAGGATAGATTTTATCCCATTTTAATAACTCTTCTTATTATTTTTTGTTTTTGCTTTGCTATACTAAACAGGTATCTATTTAACAACCGTCATGGCAATAACTTCAGTATCGGTTATAATGACTGTAATTGTGCTCAATTTTCATTATCGAGGACCCACTCAAAGTGAAATACCTGACTGGTTAAAGAAAATTTTACTCTCAGAAGTAAACCAAAAACCTTTCAACCTTAACAGTAAAACCAATACAGGTAAAAGTGAATCTTCAAAGGTAAGAGCAAAGGTTTTACTTAGTAACCTAAAAGAGATAGAGAAATGATTTCTTATTAAATTATGATCAATAATGTGAACAGTTTCAGATTTTTTTTTCCCTTACCTTTAAATCAATTATTTCATTTTAGTTTCTCTTTCTTGCTTTTCCCAACAGAATATTTTTCCAGATAAATTTAATTTTTCAACCAATTTTACAACTTACCCTGAAGCTTGTAACCTATTCTCTGGATTTCAAGCCAATATGGATCCACCATCGTTACTTAATTTCCTGGACACACCAAGTTACCAAAGTGGATCTGATTATTTGAAAGACAGTTTATTGGAAACAGGATTTTCAGTTGACAAAGATTTTTCTAATGTTACCTCTTTTAGTATTAATAATGCCAATAATAATAACAATAATAATAATGCTAGTGAAGATAGATTCAATTCAGTTCAATTTAATTTACACAGAAATTGTTCACCATCAGCAGCTCCAACTGGATCAACTGAAAGCTATTATCCACAACAAGCAGCTACACAAAACCAATCTCATAACCAACCTCATAACCAACAACAGCATCAGCAAAAACAACAATCTTCTGGTCCAAGAAACTCATCTCGAGGTTTAACTCCTCAGGAAGAAATTGTTAAAATATTGAAATATCTTCTTTGGAGACAAGAACTGGAAGATCACCACAATAGGGTTGTCCATGAATGGCGATTATTAGCATTAGCCATCGATAAAATCCTTTTCTGGGTTTTCCTTGCCATAACATTGACCTCATCCCTTTCATTTCTTGTAATTATTCCCATTCAAAGAAGAGGTTTTAGTTTAGCCTCAATAAAAGGTTAATTTTAAACTCAATAAGCAACAATAAATGCTCATTTCAATTGAAAATATTGTGTTGCTAAAGTGTTTCTTCAGTATTTGAACTTGTATTTGAAACCATAAAATCTTTTAAAGAGAAACTTTTCTGTCAAACTATTAGTAATGAAAGGTCGTTAGGATACTGAGACTTGGATATTATCATTTCTTTGTTACATAAAATAACAAACGATTAACTTTGGTTCATCGAGAAAATATCGAATAGCTCTGATGGAGGCTTAATAGAGGTAAATTTACCAAACTTAGTATTTAATAATGCGCATCCAAAGATTAGATGATTTAATTTATATTTAATCTCAAAATATTTTTTTCATAATCATCAAATGGCATCTAACATAATGTTCATCAAATGGTTACAGAGAAGCTGATTGATAGCTCAGTTTACCTGGAAAATAAAGTTATCTTGAGAATACGCCCTTATCCCAAACTTCGTGCCCGGTTACATATCGATAGATTGTTTCAAATTGTGAGACTGATGAAGAATTTCATCTAGAAATCACATGAAACGCTTGAAGATATGAAAATAGTCAGATTAGGGACACCGTGTGACAAAAACATAGATGGCATATGCAAAAAACAAATGCAAACAAATCATAACATAACTTTGTTTAGGTGTAACGCCATGGCAAAAATGTATAAACCACTTTTTTACTTTTCAACTCTTATTATCCTCACATTAATTGATGCTTGTGAGTCTAATCCGATTGTAACAACAAAATTTGGTCAAATTAAAGGTTTTGCCGGTAAGCATGATGATCTTGAATACGAAACCTTCTTGGGTATTCCATTTGCTGAGCCACCATTAGGACATTTACGCTTTCAATTACCTCAACCATTCAATTCAACTTGGACAACACCATATGAAGCAATGGATTATGGTAATGGTTGCTCCCAAACGCCTTCAACAGAAAACAACTTCAATACAAGCGAAGATTGTTTGTATCTGAATATATGGAGACCTGTGTTGAAGGGTGCAAGTAATGGTACAGAGCTGCTGCCTGTAATGTATTACCTCCATGGTTCTGGATATACAGTGGGTTCAGGAAGGTTTAGCCATATGTTAGCTGCAACACAAAAGATAATTTTTGTCAGTTCCAACTACCGACTTGGGGCACTTGGTTTTGCTTATGGTTCTCATACTTCAATGCCTGGCAATCTTGGTATTTATGATGCTTTGACGGTTCTTCGATGGATACGTGATAATATCAGATCATTTGGTGGAGATCCTAATCGTGTAACATTAGCAGGACAAAGCGCTGGATCTCAAATAGTTTCAATTTTAGCAACTTTACCAGATAAATTTGACTCACAGTCTCTATTTTCCCGCCTAATAATGATGAGTGGTGCATCAACAAGCCAATTACAAGCTGACAGTGCATCGGTTGCCTTATCAAAGACTCGTCTATTAGCCTCTAAAGTGAACTGTTTGAGCCAAGTTGATCAGTTTGGATCAAATGAACTGTCAGATGAAACTATCAGCTGTCTAAAAAAAGTAGATGCAAAAGATTTAGTGAAAGTACAAAATTCGTACGATATTAAAGTGCTTGGTGCCTCAGAGCTTATGGTATCTTTACCAGTTTATGGAACAGAATTGATACCAGATGAACCAATGATAAACCATGCCAGACAAATTGAATCAGTTAAAGGTAAACCAATGCTGTTTGGATCAGAACAAGATGAAGCCTCAATGAGTTCATCGTTTGACGGCATCTTTACTCTAAATGATGCTTATAAATTTACTAAGGAGCGGATTTCATTTGCAATCAAAAACATTACAAACGATCAATTTGATGCAATTTATGCATTATACTTCGCTGATGCTGATCCTTCTAGTCCTTACGATATTAGATCAAGATGTGTCAATCTGGGTTCCGATATGAATTTCCGTTGTCCATCATTGATATTAGCTGAACTTTTTTCACAGAAAAATCCAGACATTTATTTCTATCTTAATAGCTATGTTGGTAAAAAGTTGGCCGAGAATGCTGGAAGATTATATGGGACAAAGCATAATGATGATATTGAATTTGCATCAGGAAATCCAATATTAAATCACGAAGCGTACACAGACAAGGATAGAAAGTTCAGCAAGTTATTTCTCGATCTGTTTGGCAATTTCACTAAAGGCTTAAAATTTGATGATTGGCCATCCATTGCAGTAGACATGAACGATTATGAGTATCCACCAATAATTAAAAAGCTAACCTTGCCTCCTACAAACATGTTATATCATGGCCAACAATTCTGTATGAAATGGGCAGAACTATTGAATTACTCCTTTCCACCAGAAATTTCTGATTAAAACATTAATAAACTTCAATATTTACAGTATCATGGTATTATTGCGATAATACATTCGCCTACTTTTCTTATTCATCATTTAGACGATTCTGTAGTAAATCGAAGCTATTATACCTCATAGTTGGCTCATTTATAAAGTTATAGCACCATGAGTTGAAACGTGATGAACGAGTATGAAAGATAGTATGAATAACGCCTTGTACATCTCCATTGACCGTTCTGAAATATTTAACTTGGCTGCTATCAGAATCCAAAGCTGAGAAAATGTAATACAAACAAGTGTACGTTCGTGATAGTTAAACAACTGTTTTGAGATCTGATCTGAGCGCATTCCCGAGTGTCTAACGCATAACATCTTTATGCCAATTTAAGTGTTAAAAAGTTTTATATTGAAATATAACTTATCTTGACATAGTGAATCAAATAGATGATGATTTGTTTCTTTTAGAAGTGAGAAATGGAAATGCAGCAGAAATACAACACTGGTTCTAGCGCCCCAGCATTGCTTAGATGCTAGTTTTACTGCCATTTCCAGTCATCATGTAAACCATTTGGCATCACATTGACCTCTTCCCTTTAATTTCTTGTAATTATTCCCATTCAAAGAAGAGGTGCTAGTTTAGCCCCAACACAAAAGGTTATAAAATGTAAAAGTTTCATTTTAAACTTAATAAGTGATAATAAATGCTCATTGCAATTGAATTGAATTGTGTTGCTATAGTGAATAGATATTGGATCAACGTAGAAGCTTGAAATCACATTTCTAAATATTGAATCTGTAATAGATTCAGAATGATTTCAGTTTTTGAAGCCATGAAATGTTTCAAAGCTAAACTGATAAAGTTTTCTGTATAACAATGAACGATGAAAGGGTGATTAGGATATCGAGACTTGGATAGGAGAGGATGTTTTAAGCTCAAAACTAGTGCTAACAACTTAATTTTTGACATTTGTTTGGTACAAAAAATAACAAATGATTAATTTGGTTCATCGAGTAAATATCGAATAGCTCTGATGGAAGCTTAATAGAGGTAAATTTACCAAATATTTTATTTAATACAATTGTGTATCACAAGATTAGATATTACAATGCTTCAATTTATATTTAATCTGAAAATATTTTTTTTATAATCGTCAAATGGCATCTAACATATTATTAATCAGACAATATACAATACAAACAAGCTGGCTGAAAGCTCAGTTAACCTCGAAAATAAAGTGACTTACCCAAACCTTGTCTGGATAAATACCAATGATTGGCTTAGCTTCAAATTGTGAGTATGATGAGGAATTGAACTGGGAAATCACCATGAAAACGTTGCAAGATATGAAGATACTGAGATTAGGGACACCGTGTGACAACAACATAAATAGCATAAAAACAAATGCAAACAAATCATAACAAAAACTCTGTTTTGGTGAATGAACGACATGGCAAAAATGTATAAACCACTTTTTTACTTGTTAACTCTTATTATCCTTACATTAATTGAAGTTTGTAAGTCAAATCCGATTGTAACAACAAAATTTGGTCAAATTAAAGGTTTTTCTGGTAATTATAGTGATCATAATTACGAATCCTTCTTGGGTATTCCATTTGCTGAGCCACCTTTGGGACATTTACGCTTCCAATTGCCACAACCATTCAATTCAACTTGGACAACACCATATGAAGCAGTGAATTTTAAAGATGGTTGTGTTCAAAATCCTTCAAGTGCTTATAAATTCAACATAAGTGAGGATTGTTTGTATCTGAATCTATGGAGACCCGAGTTGAGCATTGAAAGTAATGATACAGAGCTGTTGCCTGTATTTTATTTCATCCATGGTTCTGGGTACACATCTAGTTCAAGTGCAAAAGAGTCTAATCAGGGTGATGTATTGGCTGCTACACAAAAGATAATTGTTGTCAACTCAAACTATCGACTTGGAGCTTTTGGCTTTGCTCATGGTTCTCATACTTCAATGCCTGGTAATCTTGGCATTTATGATACTTTGACGGTTCTTCGATGGATTCGTGATAATATCAGATCATTTGGTGGAGATCCTAATCGTGTTACATTAGCAGGACAAAGTTCTGGATCCAAAGTAGTTTCAATTTTATCCACTCTACCCGATAAATTTGACTCACAATCTCTATTTTCCCGCCTAATCATGATGAGTGGTTCAGCAACAAAGCAAATTCATGCTGAGAATGTATCAGTTGCCTTAGCAAAGACTCGTCTATTAGCTTCAAAAGTGAACTGTTTGAGTCAAGTTGATCAATTGGAGTCATCAGATGAACTGTCAGATGAAACTGTAGACTGTTTAAAAAAATTAGACGCTAAGGATTTATTGAAAGCGCAAAATTCAAAGGATATCACAGCAATTGGTTGTTCAGAGATCTCAGTATTTTTACCAGTTTATGGAACAGATCTGTTACCATATCGACCAATGATAAATCATGCCAAACAAATTGAAAGAATCAAAGACAAACCCATGTTGTTTGGGGCAGAACAAGATGAAGCCTCAATGTTTTCATCGGTTGACGGCATCTTTACTCTAAATGATGCTTATGAGTTTACTAAGAAGCGTATCTCATTCGCAATCAAAAACATAAAACCTGATAAGATTGATTCCATTTATAAATTTTACTTCAATGGTACTGATCCTTCTAGTCCTTACGATATAAGATCAAGATGTGTTAAACTGTGTTCCGATATGAATTATCATTGTCCATCATTGATATTAGCTGAATTTTTGTCCCAGAAAAATGCAGATATTCATTTCTATCTTAATAGTTATGTTGGTGAAAAGTTGGCCGAGAATGCTGGAAGATTATATGGGACAAAGCATGGTGATGATGTCAAATTTGGATTAGGAAGTCCAATAAGACAATACAACTTGTACACGCCAAATGATAGAAGGTTCAGCCAGTTGTTTCTCGATCTGTTTGGTACTTTCGCTAAAGGTTTCCATTTGATTGGTTGGCCATCCATCACAATAAACATGAACGATTATGAATCTCTACAAATCATTAAAAATTTGAACTTGCCTCCTACCAATATAGTCGATCATGGTCAACAAATCTGTATAAAATGGGCAGAATTATTCAGTTAGTTAATTTCACAGGAGATTACTGATTAAAATGTAACGACTTGCATTCAAATAATTGTAAGATTTCTTATGTCATTTATCATGTCACTGTTCAAATAAAAATTAAAAGATTAACTTTTTGAAGTTATGAACGTTTTGTAGCGAAGTTAAAGATAAAATTCGCGAATCATTCAAAAGTAAAAGGCACTTTTGCTTTTACGCCTGTTGGAGTCTTAATCAGAAGCTATTGATGCTAAAAGACTGGTAATTGAGGTTTGGCGAGTTGAATCACATCGAAACGGTAATTTAAAATCTCTCGGTTATTTAGCGTCTGATCGACTTCTGAACCTATGAAGTTCAAGTTTAGTATAAATCTGTACATCTGTCCTCATTATCACAGTTCTGAAATATTTAATTTGACTGATATCACAATCAGAAACTGGAAAAATGTGATAGAAATAAGAGCTTTGATGGTGAGTGATAAGTGACCGTGCAGTAGTACTCGTTGCTATAAATGAAGCTTAAATGCTAACTAGATTACTAAAGCCAGTTGACGTGAAAACTATCAATATTTTAATGATGAGCGTAAGCACGGTAAGAAACGCCCTGTGACAAAAACATAAATAGCATAAAAACAAATGCAAACAAATCATAACATAACTTTGTTTTGGTGAATGTAACGACATGGCAAAAATGTATAAACTACTTTTTTACTTGTTAACTCTTATTATCGTTACCTTAATTAATGCTTGTAAGTCTAACCCCATTGTAACAACAAAATTTGGTCAAATTAAAGGTTTTTCTGGTAATTATGGCGATCATAATTACGAAGCCTTCTTGGGTATCCCATTTGCTCAGCCACCTTTGGGACATTTACGCTTCCAATTGCCACAACCATTCAATTCAACTTGGTCAACACCGTACGAAGCAGTGAATTTTAAAGATGGTTGTGTTCAAAATCCTGAAAGTTACTTCAATTTCAACATAAGTGAAGATTGTTTGTATCTGAATCTATGGCGTCCTGAGATTAATGATGAAAATAACAGCGAACTACTTCCAGTATTTTATCTTATGCATGGGTCGGGATACATAAAGAAATCAGGAGCCCTGCCTCCTAATCAAGGCGATGTGTTAGCTGCAACGCAAAAGATAATTGTTGTCAACTCAAACTACCGACTTGGAGCATTTGGCTTTGCTCATGGTTCTCATACTTCAATGCCTGGAAATCTGGGTATTTATGATACTTTGACTGTTCTTCGATGGATACGTCATAATATCAGATCATTTGGTGGTGATCCTAATCGTGTTACATTAGCAGGACAAAGTGCTGGATCCAAAATAGCTTCGCTTTTAGCCACTTTGCCTGATGAATTTGACTCACAATCCTTATTTTCCCGCCTAATCATGATGAGTGGTGTAGCAACAAATCAAATACATGCTGAGAATGTATCAGTTGCTTTAGCCAAGACTCGTCTATTAGCTTCAAAAGTGAACTGCTTGAGTCAAGTTGATCAATTTGAATCATCAAATGAATTGTCTGATGAGACTATTGACTGCTTAAAGAAAGTTGATGCTAGTGATTTATTGAAGGCGCAAAATTCAGAGGATATCACAGCTATTGGTTGTTCAGAGATCTCGGTATTTTTACCAGTTTATGGAACAGATTTAATACCAGATCAGCCAATGATAAATCATGCCAGACAAATTGAATCAATCAAAGATAAACCCATGTTGTTTGGAGCAGAACAAGATGAAGCTACACTTTTCGTAGCAGTCAGCTGTGTATTCTCGTTGAGTGATGCTTATGCATACATCACAAAACGGGTTTCTTTCGCAATCAAAGATATAAAACCTGATCAAATTGATTACTTTTATAAACATTACTTCAATGATGCTGATCCAAGTGATTCTTACGATATAAGATCAAGATGTGTTAAACTGTGTTCCGATATGAATTACAACTGTCCATCATTGATATTGTCTGAATTTTTCTCACAGGAAAATCCGGACATCCATTTCTTTCTCAATACTTATGTTGGTGAAAAGCTGGCTCAGAATGATGGAAGATTATATGGAACTTTGCATGGTGATGATGTTAAATTTGGATTGGGAGATCCGATAAGACAATACAACTTGTACACGCCAAATGATAGAAAATTCAGTCAATTTTTCCTCAATTTGTTTGGTAATTTCACTAAAGGCTTAAATTTTGATGATTGGCCATCCATTGCAGTAGACATGAACGATTATGAATCTCTACAAATCATTAAAAAGTTGAACTTGCCTCCTACCAATATAGTCGATCATGATCAACAAATCTGTATAAAATGGGCAGAATTATTCAATTACTCCATTCCACAATTCCAAACTTCTGATAAAAACCAAGAAATCGAATCGAAACTCTTAAATAATATTGCATATTAAGTAATTTTGACAATAAACGTCTTTATCCAATTTCTAAAAATCTGACTCCTGAATAGTGGAAGTATCATGAATGTTTTATCAAATAAATCGCTTTACTTTTCATTCATTTTCTGATTTAATTTTACTTTCCAGTTCAACAAACAATAATTCAAGTAAATTTATTTCTGTGAAGAAAAAGAAAAGATAATTGTAATAGAAACTTTTGACAATTGATCTGATTGCAAAACCTTCGAGTGAACTCCTAAATCGCTTATTTTTTGTGAATTCAACACTTCGTCCACATAACCAAAGCAACACATTAATCTGTTAAAAAAATTCGTGTTCAGGCGACTGTCGAGATGCACACCACTTGTTCAAACCATTTAGCAATTCTTGTTGAACAAGGTCTAGTGGATTGAATGAATTAACTTTTCAAACTAAACTCAAGGCAATTTTCATCCAAACAAATGGTTAAAGGTTAAAAAAAGTTCTATTCTAAACTAAAGGGGAAGGAATTACATTTACACTTCAAACAATTGGTCAATTTAGCAATTCGCCAACAGGGTAAGAGGGAAAAGCAAAGAGTAAGAAAAGGGTAAAGAGGAATCACAGATTGGGCTATTTGAACAACATGAAAAGTCTAGTTATTTCCCCAGTGGTTTACCTAAATGACAGAAAAAACAAGTCAAAAAACTGGAATGCTGTTTGGAACAAGTTTTATGGTGAGTGAAGATTAAATAGATAACTTTTTACTAGTAAAACAACGAGTAAAGAAGTCTCTGTTGAGGAAATTTTCACAGTCGCCGTCTATCGGGTTTAACCTTTTGAGTTACCTTCAAATAAAAACAAACAGTGTTTTGATGAGTGCAAGAAATGTAATAATGTCGTCTACATTATCTAATTTAATACTTTTTATTTTTACCTTAGTTAATATATGTAAGACTAATCCGATTGTAACAACGAGATTTGGTCAAATTAAAGGTACAACTGGTAATTATAGTGATCATAAATACGAAGCCTTCTTGGGTATTCCATTTGCTGAGCCACCTTTGGGACATTTACGGTTTCAATTACCTAAGCCACTCAATCCAACTTGGTCAACACCATATGAAGCTGTCAATTTTAAAGATGCTTGTATTCAAAGGCGTGAAAGTTACTTCAATTTCAACATAAGTGAAGATTGTTTGTATCTGAATCTATGGCGTCCCGAATCTGCTGGTAAGCATGACGGTGAATTACTTCCAGTGTTTTACCTTATACATGGTTCGGGATACATAAAGAAATCAGGAGCCCTGCCACAAAACCAGGGTGATGTGTTAGCTGCAACACAAAATGTAATTGCTGTTAACTCAAATTATCGACTTGGAGCACTTGGGTTTGCTCATGGTTCTCGTACTTCAATGCCTGGTAATATTGGTATTTATGACACTTTAATAGTTCTTCGATGGATTCGTGATAATATCAGATCATTTGGAGGTGATCCTAATCGTGTAACGCTAGCAGGACAAAGTGCTGGATCTAACATGGTTACAATTATAGCCACTTTACCAAATAAATTTGAAACACAACATCTTTTTTCCCGCCTAATAATGATGAGTGGTGTGACTATAAATCACATGCAAGCTGATCATGTATCAACTGCTTTATCAAAGACTCGTCTATTAGCCACTAAAGTGAACTGTTTGAGCCGATTCGATCAGTTTGAATCATCGGGTGAATTGTCTGATGAGACTGTTGATTGTTTGAAGAAAGCAGATGCGTACGATTTATTGGAAGCACAATTTTCAGAGGATGTGATAGCGCTTGGTAATGTAGAGGTTGCTGCATTCCTTCCTGTTTATGGAACAGAGTTGATAACAGATCATCCAATGATAAATCATATCAAACGAATTGAATCAATCAAAGATAAACCGATGCTGTTCGGGGTAGAACAGGATGAAACAACGCGCTATGTATCACTCAGCAATATCTCTACAATGAACGATGCTTATGAATTCATCAAAAAGCGGATTACAAAAGCAATCAAAGGCATTAAAACTGACAAAATTGATTACTTTTATAAATTTTACTTCGATGATGTTGATCCAACCAATTCTGACGAGATAAAGGCAAAATGTGTAAACTTTTTCAACGATATGTGTTTTCATTGCCCATCATTGATATTGGCAGAATTTTTCTCACAGAAAAGTTCAAACATCCATTTCTATCTCAATGGTTATGTTGGTGAAGTGTTGGCCCAGGATCCTGGAAGACCTTATGGTACTTTACATGCCGATGACATTATGTTCGCCTTAGGAGAGCCAATAAGAACATATAAAAATTACACAGAAAATGATAGAAAATTCGGCCAATTATTCAGCAATTTGTTTGGCGATTTCATTAAGGGCGTAAATTTTGATGATTGGCCATCCATTGCGGTAATGATGAAAGATTATGAATCTCCACAAATCATTAAAAAGCTGGACTTGCCTCCTATGAACGTAGTTTTTCGTAATCAAGAAATATGCATGGATTGGGCAGATTTATTCAATTATTCAATTCCAAGATAGATTGTCTAATGAAAAGGAGAGAAAATTCGTAAGTTATATAGTCAAATCAGTCAAAAAGAGTGAAAAAAGTGAAATCTTACCATTTCCAAACAGCATTATTATGCTTGACTTTTGTTCAATATTTAGCCATGAATAAAGAGTTAATATTTTTTCAAAACATTGTTAGGTTTCTCTTTAAATTAATGGTTGATGTGTTAATGAGGTTAAACCGAGATTTGCATTGAAGTCTAATGAAAAAAAGAAACGAAAAAGTCACAAAAAAGTCAAAAACAAATAAAACCTTGTAAGAGGTTGATACATATCAAGTGCAAATAGTTGTTGATTAAAACTTACTTCAAGGGATAGTTCAAATCGATTCCAAACAATTGATAAAAGGTGATGAAAATGAATTGATTTAATTGTATTTACAACATTTATCAACACAAAATACAAACTCAAACACTTACAGGGGTCATTGAATCATTACAAAATGTATCGAGGGCTTGAAACTTTTCCAATTTAAAAATCAGCTGTCATTAGTTGTAATTACTAAATTGGAACAAAAAGAAATTTAATGAACAATTCTCAATTGTTATTTGTGTAAATTCAAAGTTAATGTCAAGAAAAAATGAATTCATTCTTAGATTTAGAGGTTTAATTGCCAAATCAAATAATGAAGAGTCAGTAATTGAGAGCAATCAGAGAAAGCAGGGTAAGTTGAGGATAAAATCCAATCATATGCAATCAAAAACACCCAAAAGAAAGTCAAAAATGAGCTTCCAACCAGTCCCATTTTTTGCTCATCTTCTAATTTTCCAAGTAATTAACCAGCATCTCAGTAATTTGATTGGCAATGAATATGTTCAACATGAAAATCCAATCAAAGATTGGACTGGCAATGATGATTCTCTGCATGAGCCTTAAAGCTATCAACCTAATTCGACCAATTCGTCGTAACAATCAACTTGAATCAAACTACAAAACACCAAGAAAAACAAACCAAAAGTAGAATCATTGTTCAATTAGGAATCACATTAATCATTGTAGGTTTACAATTAAGATCAAGATGACGATAATGTTGTTGAACGAGTAATTGTATTAATCAAAAAAAACAAAACAAATCATTTTCACCTAAAAAGTAGTTCAAAAAAGGCGTCAACTTGAAAATTGCCATTCTTTTGAAGCAACACGAAATTTCAAACCAGAAATGGTGATGAGTTGATCCTCTTGAAATCATCATCGCCATGTTCAAGGTATTTACTCTTTTCTCAAGATATTACCAAATAAAAGCAAAATAGTTGAACAATTGTTGACAATTATTGACAATTATTGTGAGCGTAGTTATAGATAGTTAATAACTTAGTCACATTTGATGGCTTATTGAGTGAACCAGTTTTATGCTCTCATCTTTTTTGGTTTGTTTTTTATGCTGTTCAAAAAAAAGCTCAACTTTACCATAAAGTGATGGTCAATTTAGCTCAATTATCACTTAAATGCGATATTAACATCACTCTGATCATCATTGGCAACAAAAACAGCAACAACGTTAAACCAATAAATGATTCAACAATAATAGTTAATCCAGTTCCTTCTTTTCTCACTGACATTGACAGTTTTTTTACTTCCTCCAATCATCTTCCTGTTTCATCAATATCATCATCAGCGTCGTCCGTATCGTCATCACGATGAGATTAAAGTAACTGCATATTTATAAATAAAAAGGGAAATTTGGATTAACATGTAATCAGTAAGGTTCTGAAAGAAATGAATTAACAATTAGATTTTCAATAAGTTTTTGTTGGGTCGCTTTTCCCTACATTCATGTACTTACGCGCAACAATCAGCCTGGATTAAGGCAATTGATTCAATCGATGATTGGTCAGCCATTTTAATCACCATCACCTTAACCGGACCAATTTGATTAAACCGCATTTAACAGTTTAATGTAGCAATAGAAAGTAAAAAGCTAACATAAAAGCTCAATAATCAGTCGAGAGAGAAAAAAACATTCTAATCACCAAATCAATTTGATAATAGAGTTGAATTAACCAATTTACGTTTTTCTTTCATCCAAAGTGGTGACCGCACTAAAAATGGCTTCCAGCTGATTTTAATTACTCCATTCATTGACTATCAAAAGGGTTTCTGATAAGTGATTGAATAACGATGATTCAGGTTACATTTGTTGCAATTGAAAGTTGTGTCCAATTGTGACAATAATAACTGCACTCGTAAACTCGGTAAATGTCTTCCAATACAGAAATCACCTTTTCGATTAACTATTTAATGAGTTTTCCAAGATTGGTAGGAATCCGTTCACACCATCCAAGAATCGAATTACTTTTGATTGGAATAAGAAAACGTTTGTAATTAAGTTTCGGTTTACTTCTGGTTTTTTTCTGGTTTCCAAGATGATTTAACTGAAAATTTAAAATACAAAAAAAAATTAAATTTTAATAGAGTCAATAGATTCAATCTAATGGTAAGAGGTTCATTTTACACGATCACCAACAAATACGGTAAATGTATCAACAAGTAGGTCTACAGTAATTTCATGTTTGATTCAAGATGAACCACAAAAGTAAAACATTTTATATGCTTAGCTTTTTTTTATTACAGAATAGTGATTAACTGGCAAGGTAACCTGTCGATAATAAGGTCACCAGATGATGATGTTACTATCATGATTTCCCGCATCAATTTGATTATGCTTAAATAGATCCTATTTAAACAGAAGCAGCAAACAACAAAACAAACTGAAACCTAAGCAAACTCAAGTTCAACATTCAAGTTTAACTCGTTCAATTGTTGTTACCTTGTTATCCTCATCATAATCATAATCACAAAAAAAACCTCAACTAACATCCTAATGTTCATCATGTTTCTTTTTATCATCATTTTTAACAACCATAATATTGATTAATGATCAAGAAAAATCTCGATAAAAAGAAAAATAAGTTTCAATGTTTATCATACCTTTTCATGTTGATAATTACATTTCAAACGGACATTCAACTTATCATCACATTAATACTAACTGATATCTTTTTTGCTGATGTCCATCATTTACATTTGCATGTTAATAGAGAAATATTAACATTTTTTGTGTTTTCTCGGAAAAACAATCAATTGAATGATAATTTTGCTTTTCCAGTCCTGTGTCTCATGGAAATAATTAATTCAACTTGATTGTTATCTTTCTGATTCTATACCATGGATCCAAATATGCATGCAAGGGACAACAAAAACCATAGCAACAAATCACTTTTCACTCCACCAGCTATTGACAAGTATCTCATCCCGATCCAAGTTAAATTGCAAACATGTTGATATTATGGCAGACATCAAATATTAGGAGGGATCAGGAGTTGACTTGGAAAGCCATCAATTTGTTGACACACCTTGAGCCACAATCGAACCCCAGTACAGGCTTAGAAACTGCATTGTCACCGCACTTGATCCATTCTTTGATTAACATTTACTGTCAGTTTGATTCCAATCGGTTGGCTCATCAGGACTATCAGGTAATTTCAGCATTTAGACACTTTAAAATAATCAAAATAGCCAATCTGCTTGTTGATTCTTAGTCATATCAATCAAATAGAGATTCATGGTCGACTAATTACACGAAACATCAGCTAAAAGCACAAATGAGGTTTATTAAGGTTACACCGAATTAAGGTTGACAGATTATTTATTAAATACTTACCATTACTGTCAAAGGTTAACCTTTGACAAAGAACACTTAATTAGTAAATTGCGTTTAATGAAGTAAACAAAATATAACAACTAAGCTATGTAAGTTAAACATTGAATAATTGCGTAAAGAAGGTTCAAGATAGATACCGAAGCTAGCCAATTGAGCCAGCCAGCCAGCTATTTCTTCACGTGCTTGAAGCCAGTTAAAAGTAAATAGCTCGAGCCGGCTCAAGCCAGTCAAATTCAAATTTAGCTGAGTCGGCTAGCTAACAAATTTGGTCGTCTTTTTCACTTGGAAATAGTTTTTTTCTCTCAAATTCTGTTTTTACTTGTAATTTGCACTGAAATCTTGTTTATTTCTGTAGAAATAACTAACTCATTAAAACGCTGGCAACTCAATCCATGTAGAATTGATAAAATTTTATTTGCTCATGATAATTATGATAGGTTCACTCACAAGGGAAGTGAACGTCTGACGCCAATTTAAATGAGAGAGGTGTCATTGGATAGAGTATGTTGAGTTTACGTTATTAAAGTGGTGTTAGATGTTTAATATAAAATATGAAGATATTTTTTAACTTATAAAATTGAATTAAATGCAATTTTTCAAGCCAAACTCAGCCAAATCAGCCTTTTAATTAGCTGAGTAGCTCAAGCCGGCTGAGCCAAGCCAAGCTTGATTTTATCAGAATTAAGCCAGCCAGTTAGCATCTCGCTAGCTTCGGTATCTAGTTCAAGAAGCTTTTTTTAACCGGGAAACAATACCAGGGGTTATCTCCTAATTAAGTCGCGTTTCAAGGGTTAAGCTTGAAATTAAATTGCTTTTAATTGAAATTATGAATTAAATTAATTGTAAAGACTAAACTAATGTCAAGTAACAACGTTTAAAGCTAATTATGATGATAATAATAAAATAAAAGCGGGAAGTGAAAATTGGGTTGTAAATGGCAAAACCAGATTAGAGTGAAATAAAAATGCTGATTGAAATACAACAAGGATAAGATTAAATCTATCAAATCCAAGTGAATTACTTGTTTAACCTGTAACAAGGTTGTACAATTATTATTAGACTGTAAATTAATTGTAACAAATTTTCAAACTAATTGTGATTAAATGTGATACTTGATCAAAATGAACAAGTAAAAAAAAGGTTAACATCAATATTTCATTCTAACATCTTTTACACCTTAATATGAATAGCAATATAAATACTCGAGCAATCCCTTTCTTAATTGTATTAGATGATTAGTACTTGTGATACAACTGATTAACGCCGTAAGGTGAATCAAGTATTGTCCATTCGATATTGATTCAAATGGCCGAAAGGTGAATAAACATTCATGAGAAAAAATGATTTTTAAATGAAGACAAGTAACATTGAAAGATATAAAAGAAACCAATGAATGGTTATTGTTTATTGAATTTTTTTTTAAATTTTTCATGTAAAAAGAGATGTTTTTCAAGTGTGTTTAAAGGGGTGAAAAGATGAGAAAGGAAGAGAGACAGAAATGAAAGGAAGAAAAGAGACTAGATAAATATGGTTCATTTTCATTGAATAATTGAAGGCACATTCAAAATAAATAAAGTTTTTCTTTTAAATACCAATTTTTTTGCATCATTTTTAACCTTTTTTGCCTTTTTTTGTCTTTTTTGTGTTTTTTGCCATTTCATTTGCATTTTTTTGTATAGTTGGTTCAATTGAATATATAGTTGGGTATAAAAAAAGTTATGCTTTTGTGGTTTGCTTGTTGAAAAAGTTATACGTTTTTTGCTTGAAACAACACCGAATCTAAGATTTCCCATGTTTATCTGATTGTTTCAGTTCTCAATTGGGAGGTGATCTGTTGGGATATGATTTCTGGACATGCGGTGTTATGGGTGACAATTGAGCCACCAGAATAGATAAATGAATGCAAATAAAATTGTTATCGTTAAATAGATGAAAAAATATTTGTGGTTCTTGTTGTGGGTTGTTGTTTAGTTGACGGGAATGAGGTTTGTGTGGACGAGGAAAGAGTTGAAAGGTTCTTGGGGGCAGTTTTCATGGCATAAGAATCACTATCAGGTAAAGTTTTTCCTGGTGATAGGTTAAAGGTGGCCGCATCGATGGCAGCACTTGAAGTTGTGTTTAAAGTTGATGCAGCTTCTTTAACGATAAAGGTTGCTGCTGCTGCTTTTGCTGGTAAACCAGTTGGCAAAATATCAGTCATATCAAGAGTATCAGCTGAGTCAGCATTTGATGATAATGTAACGTTAGGTGATGAGGTTAAAAATTGACTGGGTTTACCTATTGATGATAAATTATCCTCATCAGGTTGTAACCATCTTTCAGAGTTTTCATTTGACTCGGTTGTGCTACGAATTGAGCTTTCCTCTTCATGGGAGTTTAAATCTTCGGCACCTTGATTAATGGTAGATATGGAGGAAACAAAAGAGTAGGAAGAGAGTTAATACAACAAGTGAAACTAAATTAATCAAACGATTGTGATCAATTTCATGATAATCAATTGGTAAACAGTTTGTCTAAATAATTTATCACCAGTAAAGGTAAAAGTTTGATCAAGTTATTAATGGAAAGGAAAAGGTGAAGAAAGCTTATTGAAAAACATTTACATACAATACAAAAATTCAGATGAGCTCAGCAAGATAAAAATATTATCTAAAATGAATTTTCAATTTACCTTTTAATAAGCCGTCATCAGTTTTGAACCATTTTTCATAGTTTTCTCCAAATTCAGTTAAACTGCGAACCAAATTTTCATCTTCAAATGAATTTAAATCTTCGGAGCCTAAAGTGAAAAATGATTGCGATTAGTAAATTGTTTGTCAATTGAGCTTCATTTCTTGGATAAACTTTGATATTTTACTGAACTGATTCAGTTGATTCTTGAAATGCTAAAGATTAACTTGAATGACAAAAGATACATTTTGTTACATTTATTTTGATAAAACCAAGTAAAAGTCAAGTTCACATTAAAATGCCATTGACATTGTGATGGCATAATTTGTATTACAATAACATGGTGATGTCAAGGTGGAGTGATTTTGGTAAATTCACGTTATAATTACCATGGAATAGCATGAATTTTTTCAGAGTAATCAGATTTTATCATGTAAAATGAGACACACCTACTATTGATATTCATCACAGTTATTTTGACCACAGAAAAAGGATAAGTGAAAGTGAAATAATGTTACCTTTATAAATATAATTATGTTCATTTCAAGGTTCAACAAACTCTGTTGAATGAAGGAAAGAGTAAAAAGAAAGAGAGAAAAAATATATCCAAATTTGAGGGAAAAAATAGCATTATTATTACCATTATTGAGACTTATCAAGCATCCCTTTTAAGCACGCACATCGCACATACAAAGAAGCATTAGTTTGATGGAAGTGAATGTGAATATTTTTTGATGAAAATGAAGGTTATCAATATGAATATATAAACGAGTTTACATTGGACAACATGAAAATTATCATTACATCTAAAAATATATTAATAGGGTCAAAGAGAGTTTAAGGATTGACAATGAATACCTATTAGCATCATTATAATAGTTGACCTTCTGTCCATATTGTCCTATTCACGATAGACTTAAGGCTATTTCTAACCAAATTATGTTGATAATGATGATAAATATTCATAAAAATGAGATTAACATTAACATTGCGGGTTTTGCGGTTAAATAAAAGATCAAAATCAGCTTATCAAATATTTACTCAATGAGACAAAAAGAGTCTCTAAATCAACCAATATACATAATCGAAGAGTTTAATTATGACTAAAAGAGTGAATATGATTATCAATTGATTAAAAATTCGAGGTAAGTTTCGGGTTACAGATCAATTTGCATTTTAGTCCAAGTTGTCTAAATTCAAGTTCACTCTTGTTCTGGATGTTGACATGGACTATAAATTGGTACAATATTCAAGTTTAAAATGCAAAACACGATGAGTTATCATTAAAAATGGTTGCTAAATTAAAAAGATTAAAAATTTTGGGTAAAAAGATCAACAAAAGATGACTTCATCTAATGTTGATATCTAATAGGTAACACAAAATTACATTGTAAAATAAAGATAATTAAAGTGTAACAGGAAAAAGACTGAATATACACAGAATGGCTTTTAAATGTACACAAAACACACCCAAGGATAGACAGAGTAAAGGTGTATTTGATTGAGGTAAAAGGGGAAGATGATGAAGGCTGAGAAGGAGCAGATTGTGTTACGGGTGGAAGAGTTTGATGATGAAAAAAAAGGATCAAAATGATGTTGATTATTTAGACATTTGAAAATTTTCAAAATGAACACCCTTAATCTTTTTTTCCCGTTTCTCATTGTCTCATTTATTTTTACCTGGATACCAAGTAACTGAGTAATTATACATGTATTAATCATCATAAACCTATGAATATGATGATATTTAGTTGAGTAATGTTAACATTTGTTATTATCGACAACATCCAACAATTAAAAATGTGTATTCAGTGAGAGAGAGAGAGCCTTTTAATGATCATTTGGTAGCAACCTTGGGTAATGGGACAAACTTTCAATTGTAATGAAATGTTATTGAAATTTGATTAGTAATAGCATTTATAATTTGATGATTAAAAGGTCTGAGAAGAGGATAAAAGGGTTTTGAATTAACTGTTGATTACAAATGAAATTTTATATCAAATTATATAAACATAACATGTTGCCTAGAGAGACAATTAAATGGCCATTTGAGGGTTGACAGTAAAATGATTGAAGATAAGGATTGTGAACACGCGAGAAACAGTTCAAGAGGCTGACTAACAGCAGATTGTACAAGCTGAATGGTGAGACTCATTAGGAGGAGGAAAGGCCATCAAGAGGGTCTAAAGAATGGTCAATGAAAGTTGTTCAGATAAGATTGACAATGTGATAAATATTTGGCCATTTACGAGCCATTTAAAGGTCATTATTTTTCAAAGATTTTTAGATTAAATCAATTGGTCAAATCTATCATTTTCATCACTTTGGATTAATCAATGATTTAATGCAAAGCTTAACAATTACAAATGATAACACATGAATGGGTTGATGTAACTAATGCAATGACTGTAATTATATGCAAATAAACTTTTAATTATAATTGCAATGATAATTGGTCATCTCAAGGGAAACAACGAGCAATGTTAATCACAATTGCGCTTTTTTATCAGTTTCATCAAGTGAATGCCGTCAACATTTATCATCATTTGCATTATTACAATTGTGAAAAAGTTTTTTACGTTTTCAATTCAAAGTTAATTTTGAATCATTGTTTGCAATCTAATTAGTGAAATGAGTTGCAATTAAGCAATGATTATCTCACAATGATGATGAATCGAGAGAGTTATGAGGGTTTATTTATGCAAAGTTTCCAGGTTCAGTGAGAGTAACATGACTGGAAACCAAATCACAATCAAATTTGTTTTACGGTTAGTAACAATTTAATGTGATGAACATAAAAACAAATATTCAATTGAGTTTGAATAAACTCATAAAATTAAAGGCAAGAATCTTGAGATTGAAAAATCATAAAAGAATGATAAAAATCAGATTAATCGATTAAATCATGGAAAATGTTTCAACTTTAAAGGTCTAAAATTGTATTTAGTAACTAATCAGGGATTAACTAATCAGTGTAGGAAGTTAGTGGAAGAAATGCTGGTAAAATGATGAGATCGAGCCGATGGATGATCGTAAAGATGATCATAATAATCAATGATCAAGTCACGTAGGGAAATCAGATCTGAACACCTACCTGATATGAGAAAATTTTTCTCAATTTTTGATGGTTAAAGGTAAGGGATAAAGGTTTGTCAGGTCAACATTAATTTGAATAAATGTTCATAACAGTGATTGTTTGATTACTGTTTATCTGAATGCAAAGGTTGAACCCTTAACTTGATTTAAATTTGACCGAGTTTGAAGTTGAAAGCAACAAACAAAATTGATTTCAAGTTTTGTAAATCAAAGTTGATTCGGAATTATCTTGGATTCAGATCAAACAAAAGGGAGTGAGAGTGTCAACAAGATAGATTTGATTGAGGCCAAGAGCAAATAAATTTTCAATGCAATTGCAATGAAAAAAAGAAGAATCGGAAAATGAGCAAAAAATGATAAAGTTATAGCGGCGATAATAAAAGCTCGGAAAGGTTTCATAAACTTTGATAATAAAGAGATACAAAACTGTTTACAAGTTATTATTCAAGGTGAAAATTGAACTGGATAAACTGAAAATAGCTTTTAATTCATATCAGGTAACTAAATGGTTAGATTGTAAGAGATGATGAAGAGATTGAAAAGTTGTTAGAGTTTGGAATAAAAGGTTTTATTCTCTTATAAAGATATTTCAAGAGACAGGGAGAAGTTTCAATGAGAAAAAAACAAAAATCAGATTGAGTAAACAATTGAAACAGGATAAGACCTTGAAGGGATTCATTCAATTATGTAGCCTGAAATGATGAAAAACAACGAAAATTAAAGAAGCAGTCAAAAGTTGATGAAGAAATGATGAAAAAAAGATGAAGTCCTTCATTCATAGCAAGATTCATCACGACTCATGGAGAGAGAGAGAACAGAAGACGATGATAAATGATTGAGAGTGAATTAGTTTGATGAAGATGATAATCGAGAAAAGTTAATTTGCTTTTTTTGTTTTTTCATCAAGAGCGCTTGAAAGGGTAAAAATATGAAAAATATAGCAAAGGCTTGATGCACCTTTAAAGTCCGGATTCATGATAAATGAATCAATTTATCAAACTGAAACTTATGAACTAGGTGAAGAGGTGGGATTCTGAGAACAGTATTAATCAGAAAAGTGATACAAAAAGGTTAAAGTAGCGTCAATTATTTGCCAATGAAAATAGTTGACTCAATAAATGGTTGAGTGTTTAGATGAATGAATGGAAATGATTCAACTTTCAAATGTTTCATGCTCTGGCTTTTGTAATTTTTTGATTAATAATTTGGTTATTGTTGCCCACATGAAAGTGACCTCCCTGTAGGTGAAAAAAAGTGTTCATCATTAACCTGATAAAACCACCAAAATGGTTAAAAAGTTGACTGCAATTACAATCAACATTTGACCTTAAAAAATATAGTTGAAGATCAGGTGAACACATAAATGATAATGAAGGGAGATGAGAGAGTAACCCTAGCTTAAGGATCAACATCTAGGCATTGCAAAAAAGATGATCAAAATGATGGGTTAGGTACCTGGATATACACCTTCATAACCTAAGCCACATACTGTTGTCAAAATGTAATCAATCTGAATTGAAGGTAGGGCCAGTTGATTCACTTGAAAACCTTATTATAATCAACTTGCACACTTGACCTTACTTGGCCCGCTATTGTTTCTATAAGCGCAAATGTTGGGCTCAACATTTGGATCTCTTTCGCTCTTCTTTGCTTCCTTGTTACTTCAAGATTAGACAATCGCATCATCATGTTAATAAGGATAACCATTATTATCTAGCAATCAATTTGTAATTTTCCTCTTATTTTACCATCAATTGCAATTAAAGTTAAAATGAAATTAACAGATAAAGAAGATGATTATTCGGTAAAATAACGGTTAACAATGGCTTTGAATTAATAGCTTTTTAGTTGAAAAACAATCAAATGAATAATAACTTATACGGAAAGAAAAGAGCGATAAATTAAATTTCCGGTAAAATCAAATGAATACTGATCAACGTTTTTACACTCAATTATGTGCAAATATTAAACTTTATGTTAAATTTTGGGGCAAATCATGAAAAATTGAATAGA